TTTATCGTCACGATACAATGACAGTGCAAAATGTATATATATCTGGAGAAGCTTTTAAGCATTCCGTACGTTAACAATGTGGTCGTACACGATCACGGCACTACCGTAACTTTTCTGTGGCAGACCTAAGCTCTCCTGTAAGATCGTCACGGCAATTCTGCGCATGTATTACGTGTATGTGTATATATGTGTGTATGCGTGTACCAATTTGCGCCGTTCTTCAATTTATAATTTTGGACGTGCACGTTTTACGGCGATATCGTAGAACACCTAGGTTCCCTGTAAGATCTTGGTGGTAACTGTGCAACTGTAGTGTATATGTACAAGAATATTAAATATGTTTTTTTATACAACTTATGTAGAATGGCAAACAAGCTAACGGCCCACCTGATGGAAAGTGGTAATCGTCACCTATAGACATGAGCAGTACCATGGACATAACAGAGTATGCTATTTCGCCCATGATACCCCCCATGCGTTGCCATTCCTAAGGACTCAGGTGTTATTCCTCTGTACCCTGTAAATTCACGCCATATTCCATCCTTCAAACCGAAACACAACCATGCAAATACAACTGCTTCACGGTAGAAACACAAATGAGACAGAGGATTGAGCCGATGTTCCCGAGCACCTGTCCACACTGCTTCCTACCCACCTCCTAGAAGGATTCCCATAACTTTAAGAGGAAATTAAATGCGCATGCTTTTTCAGTTGATTTAAAAAAAGAGTAGATTTTGATTTTTTGGTCTAGACTTTGAACTACCTTACCTACTTAAGACTAACTTTTGAATGGAGACAAATTAAGAATTATATTATTGCCACTACCTTACAGGGAGCCTAGTCGTTCTACAATATCGCTGTAAAACGTGCACGTCCAAAATTATACGTTTTTTTAAATACAGGAACGCCAATAATATCTACGGATCAAATGGCTGATTGGCACGCGATGATGGTCAGTCTCATGTGGAACATAGAAGCGTGGAGAGACTGGATACAGGAGAATATAGATCGAGCATTAACTCACCAACATAACTCTAATATTGTACCGGGTAATTTACTTTCCTCTATTCAATTCCTGAGAAAAGTATCTACTTTTATTATATACCTAATCCTGAAAATCAAGAAATCAGTATATATAATATATATTCTATTAAACTGCTAAATACATCTCGTAGAGGGGGGAAGGAATTGTCAATAATGCAGACTACCAGTCCCATTGCTAGCAATATACCCTGTCAGGAAGACCTGCACATAGCCCCCTCTGAAAACCATCGAGCTGAATTCCAGGCGTATTCATCACGAAGGGCTGTCTTTTCATTCTCACTATAGATGGTACTGATGCTGCCAGCATATACCGATAGCGCAGGCGGGATTATCATTCCATTATCATCCATTAAAAAATACTTGTCGCATTATTTGCTCAATGCACAACACAGTGTTTGATTAACCTAGTAATCATATAATTAATAGTAATAATAGAATATAATAAATATGTAATCTCGAATAATTATAATGAAAAATATTTATTGTTGTTTAGTCGAAGCAGAAGAAAATTGGAATGCGTTTAAAAGAAGTCGCCACGGAAGCTTTACAGTGGCAAAAGTACAATATATTCAGTCGACAACTTATTTTACGTCTTGCTATACGATACAAGGGCAAACGGGTATGTAATGAATACACCAGGAATTCAGCACGATGGTTTCGGGGGGGGGAACACGTGGAGGTTGACCTGACAGGGTATTTTGCTAGCAATAGGACTGGTAGTCCGCATTACTAAAATTTCTTCCTTCCCTCCCATCTTACGTATCTTAGGTATTTAAATTATACTGTCTATTTATATTTAGAACAAATTTCAGGCAGTAAGAAATCTATGTAAAACTTCGTAATTGAGGGGAAGGAATTGTTTAATTATTAGTAATAGCCCCCATTGCTAGCAATACTCTGTTACTCCGATTTCCACGCTGTCCCCCTTGAATACTATATCCTAGTTGATTTGTAATGAATTTGCCATGATGAGCTAACGTTGATTCTTTATCGGTGGAGGATGAAACGATGAGAATGAAAATGTTTTTGTATACCATTATTATTATTGAAAGACGGGCTTTTTCAGGCAGAAAACCTGTGACACTGCATCCATGATCTTTTGTGCTCGCCCTTTATTTTAAAGTTCGCTGCTAATGTTTCTTACGTATCTTATTCCTATCCTATACTACTATGCTTATGTATATCATTAGCACGGTTCCATCTTATCAATGGAGTTTGTCGTGGAGTCGACCTCCACGTGGTTCCCCCGGAAACCATCGTGAACAATTCTTGTTGAATTCCTCACGATGGGCTAACTGACCTGCTTCATCCTCACCTATCATCCTTCACTGGTGCCCCGCCAGTGTATACCAATGGCGCGGGTGGGGTTACCAGTCCATTATCACCAATAAAAAAAGCACGGTTCCATCTTCATCATTTTTAAAAATAAACTTCATAACCCATGACTAGTACATATATCCATATAAGCTATTATTAAAAAAGTGATAAGATGTTGCTTACACTTTAAGCAACAGTAGGTAATTAGGGTAAATAAGGTACCTTAGATAAGCTGAACTATCAACTTGTTTATCATTCGAGGTAGCAGTTATAAGAAATTGTAACGTAACCCTACTATACTTAAAGAGCATTGTACGTTAATACAGATCGTCTCCCCAACACGAGCTACAGTGAAAACGGAAATCTATATGGAATGCCAGAAGGATATGTTGGAAATAATCGGAATGTTCAACAGATGGACACACTGGTTGACTGTTGTGGTAATATACCTAGTTGTGACGCTTTTGTTACATCAAAGTAGTCTAACAACTAGTTTTCTAATAATTCTTCTCTATTTTATTTATTTAAAGCAAACAAACAGCTATAACAATAGTAATAATAATACACACTTAATTAATAATTTAACAGCCACTAAAATTTGCACAATTGTATAATATGTGCAAGTGGAAGAAATAAAAAATTTAAATTGAAAATTACAGCAACATTGTAAATAACAAAGCTCAGATGTTAACAATTAATAATTAAAATTTAAAAAAAAATAAGTAATTTAAATCTTTTGATTCTTTATTAAAGAAAAGAAAAAATAAAAAATCTCTGGCAATAAACCAAAACGTTTATTTTTTATTTCATATTATAAAAAACTTTTTTATTTTGTTGCTCAGATAAAGGAAACAGATTCCTTATTACCAAGTTCGGAATCAGATATTCCGCTACATGAATTGTAAGTTTTATTTTATTTATGTTTTAGATGTAAAGAGTTACTATAATTTCAATTTGCAATATTCAGGCCAAATCTCTTACGAGGCAGGCAGAGAAAATGTAGTGCTGAATGTCATTCTTATATTTTTTTTTATGCAACTTAATGGTATACAAGCTGACGGCCCACCTGATGTAAAAGTGGTAACCGTCACCTAAAGACATGAGCAGTACTATAGACAGAACCAGAGGTTACTGTTTCGCCCGTGATACCCCCCATGCGTTTACTTTATTACTTTGTAAATACTACTTTACTTCTTTATTTTCATAATTCGTCTCATGCTTACGCGATTGTTCCGACGACAACACACGATCTATGTAATTCTATAAGTCAATCAAGTTAGGTCCTGCAGTCGTACCTAATCTTTACGATGAGGGGAAAGGATTGTTAGTAATGCGGATTATCAGTCCCATTGCTAGCAATATACCCTATTAGGTCGACCTCCACGTGGTTCCCCCTGGTAACCTCGTGCTGAATTCTAGGTGTATTCATCACGGTGGGCCAACTGACCTACCCTTTCATCCTCACTTATCATCCCTCACTGGTGCTCCGCCAGCGTATACCGTTAGTGCAGACGCGGTTACCATTTCATTATCATCTATTGAATTTTTGCAATGTAAGGTATATACACCTCGTATTGTCGTATATTGATGGTATATACACATCGTATTTGATGAATGAAGTGAATCATCATTCAATTCATTCATCAAAAATTACTGATAATCCTTTATCCAGCCAATAGTCAGCAGTATATATCAAAGATTTGCCCTCTTGAAATCATTGCACCATCTAATAGGTGATTTCTTTACACAGTGTTTGCCTGTATTGTAGTTTTCCACTCAACAAAATTCATTCCCCGTAGATGATCACATGCATCCTTATAAAAATAAAGTTTTTTACTTTAGCCGCTGGAACTTTTTCAAAAGGAAAGTGGAAGAGTATTCTGAAGATTGGAATAAGTACAATACGCATTTGAAATTTTATTGGGAGCATAAATACAGAACAATAATTTCAGGTAGACTTTATGTCTATAAATTAAACAAAATATAATAATTCTATCGCGTAAAAAATGTCCTATATCAGCTATCTACGAAGATTGTTTATGTACTTATTCATGTACGAAATTCGTTAAAACTGGTGGTTATTATTTTTTCATTTTACTAATATAATAAAATTGTAACTATACAATGTTGGTATGATGATGACATGTGAGATATTTAAAAAAAACATAAGGGCATCAAATGACAAAACATAAATTTTTAGAAATGTTGTCTGTCTGTTTGTATGTTCGTTCCGGCATCACGCAAAAAGTACTGCACCAAATTAGATGCGATTCACATTTCTGTTATTAAAGGTCTAACTTAAAGTCTAATGTATATTGTATCTTGATACTCCATCTTCAAGTAGTCTACTTCATTGGTCCCACTTCTGAAATTCATGCGTATGAAGTAATGGGTAAAACACTAGTATATAATAAATATATATTCTACCTACCCGCTAGAGACATGCATTAAAAATAGATAGTTTAAATATATCTAATCTAGAAACACCATACGGTTTTCTTTTTCTTTTATTAAATACAGCCTATGTTACACTGAAAACGTAGCTTTTTATATGAAAAAAAAATTAAAATCACTTAAGTAGGTTTTAAAGTTTATCCATAACAAATAAACAAACACACAAAAATATTTTTTTTTCCGTTTCTAATATTAGCTCAGATAACATTTTATCTTAAACCTTAAGACTGAAATTAACCATCACCATTTATTATAACCCGCAGACTGGTTGCCAGCTTGCTTAAAACCGGGCCCAGTGTGGGTTGTTAGCGCGTGCGGCGCGGTGCCGAGTGGTGCGGTGGCGGCTGGCGTGTTCGAAGGAGAGGTCACTTGAGTAGCACGCACCACGCACAAGTACACATCAATATCCTACTGAGTGATTGCCAGCTTGGTCGAAATTAGGCCCGATGAGTGATGCTTATGAGTGCTTCCGATGCAATGGTAATCGGAATGTTCAAGAAGAAATACATGTACCAAGTATACTTACTTGGCGTGATGGTATAGAATAATTGCTACCTTGATTAAAACCTGGTCAAGTATAGGTTGTCATCCGGTGAAGTGGTTATAAGCATATTAGAAAAGGCTAAAATCATCTGTGATGGCGCGAATAAATGAATAACAACGCATACAAGCAATATATTGCAATATCTTAAACAGGACTGGTTTATTAACTTAATTGAAACGGAGCTCGGTATGAGTTTTGAGCGCCGGCTTGACCATTTCCATGTGACTGATTATGTATATTAAATAATAGTTATAACTTTTCACTCAGATGCAACGTACTACCAGCCGCACTGCATCCCTCCAAACATTGCTGTTTGCTATACGCTGATGGAGCTGTCCACCACTACACTAAGTATCAGGTAAACATTTTACTCCGTCGGAGATGTGGTGAGTGCGAAAGCGAACCCATGTCTCCGACATATGGCACCTCGAGGGTATATCGTCTGGTTTTTAGTGGGTACACCCCCACCTTACGGGGGGATTCCCACAGTACCCATTCACCTCCCACAAGGTGTATGGGTCTGCATAAAGCATTTTCCAGACGTTAAAAAAAAAGGTAAACATTTTACTGTAACTAACTGTATGTATTAGTACAGTTTGTAAGCAACAAACTCCTTGTCCTTCTATCTAACTGACCTCACTAACACTCTGTCAATAAAATATGACCAAATAATAATACGGTGCATGTATATAAATGCGCGTATACAAATGTCCTCTGTATATATAACAGTAACAACTATAAATAGTACTTGAGAACTTTAAAAAAATATGGTTTTTTATTCTATTGCTATTACTGGTGTGAGGGTAACGACCTCTGGTATCAATTCTAAATCACCTAAATTTACATGTCTGATAAAGGTAATAATTACCAGGTGATGTGCAATGCGGCGGTGCGATAACTGGCGTGGCGTGCGGGGGAAGTGGGCACGATGCGGTGCGTGTAGCGGCGGGCGTGTACGTGGACCGCGTGCACTACCGCGGTTCGCACCTGCTCGGCGCCATACACACGCCAGCCTACCGCTGCCACGTCGTCATTTTTGGTCGCCCTTTCGTGTTCAACTGCTACGAATTGCTTGTACTCACCACGGACGAAGATCGTATATAATTACTGATTCGGCTTTCAAATATTTAGACTTTATATGACTTTTTAAAAAAAAGCCCACGTGGTGGTGTACAGGCAAACGTGATACGTGAAGACGTACATATACGTGTAGTGGCTGTAATTCACATATACCCACCGCCATGTCATCATCTTCGGCCGCCCCTTGGCATTCAGCTGCTACGATCTGGACATGCTCACCAAGGATAATGACCGCTTGTGATTACACAGCTTCAGCTACTTAACTTTTTAACATATGATTCTATGTTTTCTATAACCTTAACAAGACGTTGTGGTTTTAACATCGACAACTATCGATGCACTCGGTAAGTGTATATGATCTTGCCCATTTTAGCGATCGTTACCTACTGTACCATGTTTTAACAAGTTGTTACGCTGATGTTTACCATGTAGTAGCTACACCGAGCATCCAAAAAGAGGTTGATCCCCGCGATTAGAATATGTATGTTACGGATGCCGATGCTAAATGCTTCATGTCTATGGTCCTAAGATGGTAGGATTGCCCAATGTATTTTTAACGGATTTTAGAAATATTGCTTTATTAACAACGTATATATTATTTTGATGACCTTTGTACCTTGTGATTTTGTTTTGTTTAATAAAAAATGCAAGATTTTTAGATGAATATAATATTTTCATTAACTCTCGGTTGCGACAGATTCTTCCGACATTTGCACTTTTTCAATCAATCCCTTTGTGCCAGAAAGTCTTACGATGTCTCCCGTTTTGAAAACGTCTGTAGCGTACATAGCTCCTACAATGCATGGTAAACCGTACTCGCGAGCTATCACGGCTCCTGTAAAAAATTCAGAACACTTATCATAATCATCATTGCCGAGATAAAAATTTTCCTTTTTAGACTCTAACTGGAAACGGTCTGGTCGAAACTGGAGCTGATTTTAATTATCAAATGCTCTACATTACATTTCATCACTTTATCTGGCGAAGGGTTTCCCAAAACCGGATATATAATATACATACACTGATCACTTAAGAACTCTCTTCCTCGTCAGTTATCGTTTCTTCGAACTATATATATATATATATATATATATATATATATATATATATATATATATATATATATATATATATATATATATATATATATATATATATATATATATATATATATATATATATATATATATTATATACTGACCATGTGATATAAGACCGCCGAGCTCTGTGACAATCCCAGTTAAGAGCGGGAAATAAGGCGACCAGCCAATGTCAGTAGCATGCGTTATCAACACATCACCTTGCTGCAGTTGGTGAATCTGTAATACAAATTATAAGAAAAAAGGCATGATATGTGAATGTGAAGTCAGGTCAATTGGTTCATTACGACAAATTCGGTCACCAGTAATTATTCACTACGATAAAGGCTTCAACACATTTTAAGCATCAATTTACATTTAATTTTTACCTCGGAAAGATCCTTAACAACACAAGCTCGGGCTATAATCTCGCCCCCGCAGACTGATGTAGCCTCCAGCTTCACATCTCCAGCAGTCACTGTAGGGCCCTTTACGGGTAAAGGCTGGACCCAACCCTCATTGATTTCCGCAAATTTAAGCTGACACCATTTTGGATAATACTGTTGACGTTGTATCGCCCTGTAAATTGTTTGTTATTTTATCGTGTAGCAATATTTAAATAGGGCATATAATGTACTGGCTTGTAAAATCAACTTACTTCCTTAGTATTGCTGGATCTCTACTAGTGATGTAGTCAGCTAACTCTTTCGCTCGAAAGAAGAATACGAGATCATGGTGCGGCAAGTACCAACGGCGCACCAACTCTGCCGAGCTCGATAGCTGCCAGACGTAATTTGTGGATACCAAGGATAAGATGCGCCTTTGTACCCTCTCTATAACGCACTGTCCGGCGACAAAGTGGTAGTACCCATGATAAGATTTTCCTGCAAGTAAGAATAAAATAAGATACTTTTCACAAACAAAATGCCCCTATGTTTACAATTGTCACCGTTAAAATGTACCTGGTACTTGATTTCTTTGGTGTAGTCAATAAAGCGATGATTTCGGCATCAGATTTCTTTTCTTGATTTTCTTTTTCCGTTACTCTCATATTTTGAAGAATTTTCATGAGTTCTTCAGGAACCAAGATCCATGGTTTTGTTACCATATCGAACTAAAACATATTTATTATTTAAGTATATTTAGTTCTTTATTTTTAATATCAACATTATGATTGAATATAGGTGCTTATTATAAATCACCCTCCTACTGGATATTTCCCTTCTAGACAACTTTCGTTACGACTCGTTATTTCTAAACACAACAACCTCAATACCTACTATCTAGTAGCATAAGTATATAGGTATTGTCATCACGTACCTCCATAATTGCTCTATGACCATGCATTTTCAAGAACTCTAATACTTTGGAATGCACATGAGGTAAGTTGATCTTCAGCCAATCTAATGCTTTTTTCGGATCCTGTATTTTGAATTGGTCAAGTTTTCCTGAGTTTTCAAGCTGGAGCGCCAATTTCGCTAGACTTAACGGTACTTCGGCAGAGAGTACGTCCCCAGAGCTAAGCAACGTACTTATTTCGTTACAATGTTCCATTGTAAAATCTATAAAAAAAATAAGTAAGGTTAAAAAACTTTTTCGAGAATATTAGAGGTTAAAACAGGTTTTTAAGTTCTTTTGCTTACTATACGACTATATAACTACGACACGTACGACAACAAATTTTATCTATATTTGGCACAGATTAATTATTATGTTTTCATCATTGTGTAATTACTATACTACAAAATATATAATAGTATACATTAACACTGCAAATTCGTTACCTGGGGCACCCTCTAACAATATAGACATTGCAATGAATTGACTAGCGGTGCTAGCAGTACTGGTGACAGCGTGATTCCAAGAAAGCCGACTCATTGTATCCTTCTGGTTTAGAAGGGTCTTAAACATTTCCTGCGGTTTATTGCTGTTCATTTGTATATTCATTTTAGTGGCAATTTTGATATTATCTACCATTTTCCACTTTGAGGAAATTAGACACTAAAATTTGAAAAATAAAGTCATGAATAAAAAATTACTCTCTTGAAGAATAATACAGTTGGCTGATTCTTTCAGAAGAACAATTAAAATGCTGGTCGCTTTTTAACCCAAATATTCATTAGAATGAAAAAAAGTTTAATAATTCGACTTCATATAATTGCTCTCGAAGCATCTTGTCCACTTAATAGGAAAATCTTCCATGTTATCTTACCTTTAAAAGTGTTTTTATAATTTGAACTTTATAACTCCAGTGAGGGGTCCGGCGACGCAAAGCCGTATCGACAATTTTCTGATCAGCCACCTTCCTTCCATGTACCGCCATCTCTCTCATACGTATATCCATATTAATTTCTTTAGGCATGTGTCGATAATTTGTCTGTAGAAATTGAATAAAAAGTATTTTTTTTTTACTGAAGCACATTAGATCCATTTGTGGTAACATTTATTGAAGAAATTTAAAATAATCCTTTCCTAGAATAGCTACGATAACTATAACTACATATAAAAAATATTCGTTTCTACTTGTTTTTGTCTATACTACATCGTTGTATCACCGTATGGTCCAAGCATAGAATGGGCTTTTCCCGTGTGTGTTGTAAGAGGCAACTAAGGGAATCAAATGATTGAGGGATAAGTAGCTGCATCCTCTTAAAACCAACCTGCCTGCCAAGCGTGCCAACTATTGACAAAACCCCCCTTATGGGGGAGGCCTACGTTCAGCAGTGGAACGTTAACGATTGATGTGATGATGATAATGATATTGTATTGGACATTAGTAGGTACTTATAACATTGAAATGTTTTTGAGAAACTTACGTTGTACAGTGCTAATCCAATCCTGTTGTGAGTAAATATAACTCCGTCTTCAAATGGTTCCATATTAGAATTAATTATGTCGGTCATTCCAGAAATCATAGGACGCATTACGATATCGACTGACAATGGAGTCACTGGCTTTGGTAATACCTGTTTATGAAATTATTAGTAAGTAATTTTATTAACAAAACACAATATAAATCTATTTTATTAAAATAAATTATTTTAAGTGTATTTTTGAATATTCAATAGAAATAGTTTCAGCCAAAGAATTGACAAAACAGACAGAACTAGACCGTTACTGTTTTTAAACATTAGAAAATTTTTATTACAAGTAAATTATTCTATGATTAACTACTAAACACATGAAACCTTAATTAAGATATTAAACATTAACAAAATAAATTAGTTGTAGTGACTATAGCAAGTCAAGTAACAACCAAAAATCCTTGCAAACACAAAAATATCTTACTAAATATAAAAATCCAATAATAATCTCATTGATGTGACCAAAGTTTGATCTTGAGCAATATTTTTTTATAAACGCAATGAAAAGTTCAACAACTACGTTTTAAAGTACCTCACCTCACCAGTGTTAGCGAAGGTGGTAAGATCTTCGTCAGACATAATGGGCGTGTCCAGTTCGTGCAACAGTTCCTCCTCTGTCCAGCGCCCCAGGGACGTGATGGGCCGCGCTTGCAGTAGATACGTGCCATTCTGTCCATAATTATGTGCTCTATTACGAATCAGTCTCATTTTAAAAAAGAATACTATCTATGCCATATCAAATCTATTATGTCGAGGTTTCAAGCAAAGTTCAGCACGTAATCCAAAATTCACGATTTCTAAAGTACACGAGTCCGCTATTCTCAGTAACCGTACCATGGTTTCGTTCGATAGTTTTTTTAATAACAAAGATATATGTGAATATTACAGGAAAAATAAAGTTTCTATCACTGTTTCTGGAAAATTATTAAAAAACCTCCAAAAATAAATTTAGGTATATGGTCCAGTTGTTAACCATAATTATGACCAAAAATAAATGAAAATAGTATCTATAATTATAATTATTAGGTGTCTATTTCGTATGAGAAATGCAATAAAAGTAATTTTATGTCAAATTAATATACGTGTGTATGAAACCCTCGGAGCGTGTCGCCTCTGACCAATTTTTTAACTTTATGATTTATGGGGCTGTTTCAAATATACCATTAATTTTTGTTTACATTTATCTAAAAATATCGTTACCTTAGTAATAGCCCACTCAATATCCCTTCCCGCTCCCCAGAGCTCTTCTTGAGCCACTCCAAGTTGAGCCAGCTTCAAAGCTTCTGCTTCAGTTAAACACGGAATTCTACGCTCTGTCTCTGGTACATCCTCAGTAGTTACTCCATCAATAGCTGTCGTTACGCGTTGTGTTTTTGAACCCAATTCGATTTTCATTATTTCAAGGGCATTCCCCTCACAACGTTTTACTATTATAGTATCAGGCTCAACGGAACCGGACACTACAGTCTGTAAAGGACAACAAATAATAATAATATTAAATTAGTTAATTTAATGTTACCTAAATTACCTAATCAAAAGCCTACGTAAAAATTTACATTTTAAAAGTCTTTATTTTCTCAAAAAGTACATAAATTATAATAACCAGGTGAATTCCTAAGTAAATTCCATAATTCAGAATGGAAGCTGATAAAAACTATCACACTCTGTACGTACCTCGCCAAGTCCGTAGTTGGCGGTGATAAGGAGGCGCGATGCATCGCCACGGTCGGGGTGGCGCGTAAACATGACGCCGGCAACGCGCGCCACTACCAACGCCTGCACCACCACGCCACCGCCGCACACGCACTGCTGCCCGTTCTGCCTGCGGCCGCACAAGAAGTTAGTTAGCTTGGCGCTCCCACATGCACGTCACTGCGACACAGAACTCCACTTACCTGCGGTAGTATGCGCTTGTGAAGGCGAACATGGAGGCCCAACACTGCTGCACGGCGCGCAATACCTGCTCATCACTTGTACAGCCCAGGATCGTCTCATTTTGGCCGGCTGCCGACAGCATCTCGCTATCTTCGCCCACCGCTGTTATAATTGAAATACGTTACAAAAATATTTAAATACTCAATTTACATTTACAATAATCTTACATGCATAACTTTTTAATACCAATATTACCAATTAACAGATCGTGTAATATATATGTTATAATTAGTGATTAAACGAACTTACCCAAGTGAAGTTCTATCACAATTATACGAAGCGCTTCGTCCGAAGAGATTATTATTTGTAGAATATAAACAACATGTAGTAACGCACAAGTGACACCGCCCCTGCACTATTGTTGAGAGAGGGATTCCCCCTTTTTCCTTTTTCTTTTTATTCCCCGGTAGGTACATAGTCTACTTAGCCCGTTCATTTCATTTCCTGTTCATTAAGTTCAGAGTTAAAAATTATTTAAAACTTATGTTTGACCATTGAAATATTTTTTGGTACAGTTCTGATGGGTATAATTAAACTGGGTCGGGAGGGAGTACGTACTAATCTCTTCGGACGAAGCGCTTCGTATAATTGTGATAGAACTTCACTTGGGTAAGTTCGTTTAATCACTAATTATACTTCGCGCTTCGTCCTCGAGATTATTATTTGTAGAATATAAACAACATGTAGACTTTGAGAGTTACAACCAAAAAATATTATCAATGAAAACACTTCTTTTATGATTGTATGTTTTATTGGATTACAAAGTGAACAAATAGAACTAAAAATTAATCGACATTATGTTATTCTACTATTAATCTATAATAGTACATAATCTTTTTTAATCATCACACAATTCGATAAACATAATATTATTTTTGATTATTATTAATTATCGGCTTAGCAAAGGACGAATTATCTGTATTAATCATAGGCCTACTGTAAAATTTGGCGAAAGCAGTGGAGTTGGCATTCCAGCCGCAGCAGCTCCATTTAAGTATTGTATCTACACTGACACCTAGAGAGCGTGCCCGGGACGCGGCGGCATGTCGCGTGCTGTGCGCAGAGAGTACAAATATGTACGTCCAGTCCACATTCGTCTAATATCAGTTTCACCCATCGGCTAATAGTTTGTCTACCGCTTTGTGAGGTCGACAGACACCAGTAAAAAGATTATCAGAATTCCTTAGAAGAATTGTTTTATTTAAATGACAATCTGAAGTTTTTGCTGGACTGATAGCAGAATTTTCTAAGAAGAAAGGAAGAACAATAATCGGTTGCTTAGAACCTCTTCGTGACGTTTTAAGGAAGTCAGGAATTTTAATTACTATATGGTCATTGAAAAATTCTATATTTTTTATATCAATTTTGGATAGAGTTTGTATTCTATGAGCTATCGTTATTGCTATTAAGGTAATGGTTCTCTTTGTTAATTTATCCAATGATAATTCATCATTAGGCCACAATGTGCTTCAATGATCTAAAACAGCATTGGTATCTCATGTAGCGTTATACTTCGGAAGAGGAGGTCTCAATCGATATACTCCATTGAAAAATCTTTCTATACTATCATCTTTTGATAAAATAGGACCTAAAAGCAAGAATAACGCCGAACTTTATTGAATTTAATGTTCCATATTGATAACCGTCATGGAATATCTGAGTAAGAAAAAAAAATTATGATAGGAATCGAAGCTTTATAAAAATAAACTGAATTGTTTTTACAAAAATTCCACCATTTTTTTAAACAAGTATCATATTGTCTAATTGAGCTATCAGAGAATGATGCTAACATTATATCTAAAGAGGCTGGTGGAAAAATTCTCCTGGATAATGCTTTCCTGATAACACTCCTGTAACCAAGGTAAGCGTTGAGCCTACACGTTGATAACTGGAACTAAATAATAAAACATTATCCGCAGGATAATGTTTTATTAATTCAGAGACAAGGAGGTTTCTGAATAGTGGGTACCATGGTTGTGTAGGCCATAGAGGAACAATAATTATACCGCAAGCTTTATCAGAAATGATCTTTCTAAGCGTCTTAAGAATCACTGCAAATGATGGAAAGGCATAAAAGTAAAACTTTTGCTCAATTGATTGTGAATGAATTAATAGCAATTACGTCCGGATCCCTATGCCATGTGACATAATTTCACATTTTTTGTTTATGCGATTTGTAATTCGATCAACTTCTGGTACATAGATTTTTTTTTTTTTTTTTTTGTCAACTTGTTAAAGGCCCAATCAGCCAGTCCCCACTCTATATCTGGATGGATTTGCGTGATTGATCATGTATTATTGATGCATGATCTGTAGACTTAATATAGGAAGCGAATATAAAGAGCCTTCTGTTCTCACACCATTGCCAAATCTCTCTACTTATTTGAGTAAAATGAGGAAATTGAATGCCATCCATACGATTAATGTAAGATATTACAGTAGTATTGTCTATTTGTATTATTTGACAGTATTTGGCAATTATGTGAATCTCTGGCAAAAACTTTTAAGGCCAGAAAACGCAGCGAGAAGCTCCAGATAATTTATATGATGCTTTAGTTCATCATCTGACCATTGGTCGCTAGCAATACTATTACCATAATTAACCCTCCACCCCGTAGTTGAGGCGTCAGAGTAAATTGCAATGGCATACGTATCATCTCTGATACGATGATACACAGAGCTATCTATATTATTTAATCACCATTGAAAGTCAGAATATACGGAACTAGGTATATTCCTATACTTATCATAATCGTTATGATTTTTTAGATTAAGAAATTTTGAACGCTCCAAATCTTTAGTGCAAAATCATCCATACTCAATGGCTGGACAAGCCGACACGAGTAAAGCTACCAGTTGAGCAAATTCCCTGATTAAAATACGTTCATATTGACAAAAACTTTCTGATTGAGATCGAATTCGTAATCTATTTTCGAATGGTAAGCTTAATTGTAGACTGTGTGAGTCTACAACTATTCCCATAAATTTACAAGATAATGAAGGCTCAAGGTTACTTTTATCCTGATTAATTGTAAAACCTGAGGAAGATAGTAGTTTGGAAGTCATCTCAATATTTGTCAAGCATTGTTGATAAGAATTACCCAATAAAAACCAATTATCTAAGTATAAGGTAAATAAAAAATCGCCAGTTTTTAAAAGTCTAGTAATCGGCTTCATTAATTTAATAAAAATGTAAGGTGCGGTAGCTAAACTAAATGGCAAAACATTAAATTGATATAATTTATTGTCAAAAATAAATCGGATATATTTTTTAGATTCATTATGAATGTTTATTAAAAAATAAGCGTCTTTAAGGTCTAATGTTGCCATATAGAAATCTTTTGATATTAATTTTAATGCAGTTCGTAAATCTTCTAATTCTTCGTAAATAAATATTATTCGTATATGATCCGTCTGGATAAATTTATTTAATTTTTTGAGATTCAATACGAGCCTCATTTTGCCATTAAGTTTTTGTATTATATTAAAAATATTAGATATAAACTGCCCTTATAAGGTATACACTCTGAAACAGCGTCAATTTGTAGAAGATTATTAATTGCATCAATATATTGATATTTTTCTGAATCTGTATGATTCTTGATAAACAGGTGACGAAAAAATTATTTTGTAACCCTTAATCCATGAAAGGATCAAGTGAATATTTGTGATAATAGACCATTGATCATAAAAGTGTGTTAAACGACCTGCATACTTAACTGGAATATACGTATCTAGTAACGACGTACGTAGTAACGACGACGTGGATGTTGTGTCGGAGGAGGTGGCGACGGCGGCTGCGGTGGTGGTGGAACCCACGACGTCGCTATGTGCCCAGCCGGCTGCGTTGGGAGAATCAAGGGTCGTGCTGCGGCAGGCTGACGGAATCTCGCTCCCATGCCCGGCTGCTTGCGTGCCGGTGCTGGAGCTCTCCGGTTTAAAGGCCTTGAAGGAAGAATGTCGGTTCTTCTTGGCAGGTTTTTGGTACCATCAGAAACCACCTTTAGGTCTATGTCTGATTTGTTAACAGCTTCGGTCGATTTTATTGTTTCAGCCAATTTATAGCCAAATAAGAAGGTATCAACTTTTGTGTTTGTAAGATATTCCTTCATATCCTTCTTTAAAGCACTTAGAATGAAGTGTCGTCTAGTCATGGAGTCGCTATGCTGTATGTCACACATTAGACGGCTGAGATCCATAAGTTTTTGTAAAAGTTCTTTATCTTTTTGATTACAATTAAGCTATGTTGAAATAGCTTGACCTAAACAAGATATGGCTGAAGCCATTGGTTTCTTTTTTATCTCAATACCTTTATCACGCGTAGTAGCTAGTTCTGGAAGCTCTGCTTTTTATCTCGGGATTTATTGTGGGAGCACTACAAGTAAGCAGTTAGCTGGTAGTGGGTATTTATTTACTAATTATTTTTTAAGCTCTTTACTAATTCCTTCTTGGGCGATGTGTTGAAATCGCAATGGCAATTCTTTATGGACATCGCTACCATAATTATTAGTACACGTTGGATCGACTCCAAGAATTTCTAAAGTCTCAGTATCTAGCTACTGAGGCTCCACATTTGACGGGCCTGGACAGTTTTGACCAGCGTCTTGATCCGTAATCGGATTATTTTTTACTACAGACTCCCTACCGTCTGGATACGTTAACGCATCGTGAATCACATCTACATCGTCTGATGGAAGGTTTACAGTCTCTGGTTCTAGTATCTCTTCCTCAGGAGGATCTATTAACCAGTCTACTGATTCCGCTATTAATTGAGGCGTCTCTGACATATGCATCATATAATATATAAATATATGATGTGTATATGCATAAATTTATGCAATTGTATAAAAAAGTATAGTATGTGTCGAGTTCGTCCTGATAACGGCTCTGGATACATACTAACATTGTTAACGTGGATACGTTAAAACCTAATATTTTTTGTCTCCAATAAGTATTATTGTTTATACAATACACCCCTATAATCAAATATTCTCTATAACTGAAATCAAAAGTAACGACTTCTCTTTTATATATATATTGCCAATAATTTATTTAAAAATATTTTATTAAAAATGAAATTCTATATTTATATTTATTATATCCTTTTATGGGTGTTATTTGAAAATGCGATAACGAAAGTTATCGAAACACGGCTGTTGTGTACAATTCCCGCTGAATTGCACGTCAACCATTTCGTTTGAATGCGGTGATATAGCCCATATGACTATCTCGATTGCATTCTTCTGGAGACAAAAATTACTTTTGTGTATAGATATAGTTTTGAAAATAAATACCTGGTCTACAACGACACTATGTAATGTTGAATGTTGGGTCGTTGAGATCACTACTATTCCTTTTTGGCATCTTTTTTTTTTTTTTTTTATTAACACGACAACGCGATGTATTATGTGCGGAGCGGTGAAGCACTAAATTGCGAATGAACAGGAAATGAAATGAACGGGCTAAGTAGACTATGTACCTACCGGGGACTAAAAAGAAAAAGGAAAAAGGGGGAATCCCTCTCTCAACAATAGTGCAGGGGCGGTGTCACTTGTGCGTTACTACATGTTGTTTATATTCTACAAATAATAATCTCGAGGACGAAGCGCGAAGTATAATAGCAATACCTGAAGATCTGACTGCAAATCGTTGTTCCAAATCTTGTTTGGTAGTAGCTACCCTCAATTCCTTTAAATAGGCGAGTATTTCATTTTTCACATCCTCGGTTATTTCAGTGTTAATAAACAATTCTACGGTCCTGAAATATTAAGATGTAATTATAATATATCAGAAAACGTTGGACTTCAATAAAATATTTCTTAGCAATTTTATCAGAGCTGCAAGATTTGCGGTGGATATTGATGAAGAGCTTGAAGTGAGTAAAAAAAAAAAATAGGTAGACTACAAAATATATTTAAACAAGCTACAAAAATTGCTAATTTGATTGAGTGCATGAAGAACCTAAAAAGGATCGATAATAACGTCGCATTGCCGTCCATCAAGAAAACTGTTCATTACATATCTATAGGCAAAATTTGGTATACATTAACATACTTAGCGCATTTATCTTTGAAATTGGTTTCGTCATAGTTTTCATTAGCAGCTTCAATGTCACGGATAACTTCCAGTAGTTTTGGATTAGCTTCCAGCTGTTTCTCTAAAGCTCGTACAGTCAAACAAAATCCTGGTGGCACTTTGTAGCCCTGAAAATCAAGGATTTTATTTTGTAACCCAAAGATTGAAAAAGTTACACAGTAGATATATGATAAAAATACTAACCTCAACATCCTGTACGGAAGCGAGCAACGCCAGCGAGGCACCCTTGCCGCCCACGTAGTCGGGACAGGCGGCAGCGCGCGATTCGAATGGCAGGCAATAGCTCACCGAGCCCGCATCGCTCGCGCTGAGCCACCGGAGAACGCGCGGCGGGGTTACGCGCACTGTTGGCTCTGTTATTTCTGTGAATAGATATCAAAAATATACAGACAAACTGTAATTAGCGACATCTTATTAATCTGCCTTTAAAATTCAATTAAAAAAAATGATTTTATTAACATTGTCATTTCAATTAATTGCCCACTACTGAAATTTTTGCTATAGACTGCCATAAAAAACGGTTCTGACCTATCTGCATTCTCTGACTCCGTGCAATGCATATTTTCAGAGGTCATCCTACAGTACGTTTGTCTGTCACCACCGAAAACCTTTCTTCCCCGACGGTTATCGGTTCTTCGAGCTATATGACCGGCCCATTGCTACTTCATCTTACTTTTACCACACATAATATAATACTATTTACTCCGGGTTATGTCAGTTACTTTCATTCTACTGTAGATATGTTTATTTCAATTGTTATGTCTAATCCCCAGGTTGCTGTACCTAACAAGGCTTTATTATGTATTTTGTAATGCTTATAAGATATTGTGTTATAATGTATAATACAACTGTAATAAATAAATAAATTCTGTCACATAGCGAAACTTCAAGCATAGCCTTATAACTCACTGAACATGTTGGAGCTTAAATGAAATATGCAATAATTAATTCACCAGAGGGAGACTTTGTACAAAAGTCGATTGCTTGGGTACCTGTCCCATTCGTGTTTCAACCGTGAAGCAGCTGTGTTTACATGGCTGTGTTTCGGTTTGAAGGGTGGGGTATGGCGTGAATTTACTGGGTACAGAGGAATTACACCTAAGTCCTCAGGAATGGCAACGCTCGCACGTATCATGGGCGAAACAGTATGTTATGTCCATGGTACTGCTCATATCTATAGGCGACGGTTACCACTTTCCATCAGGTGGACGACGGTCCACCTTGTGCTTGTTTGCCATTCTAAGTTGTATAAAAAAAATTAAAATAATATATCAAAAATAATTAAAATATTAATAGAAACTAATAGCACTGTTAGTGCAATATGACATTGATTTTCACAAAAGTATCAGATTACATTTGATGGAAAATAAAAATTACATTATGTTGTAAACAATTTAATTTCTAATTTGTGTGTAATTTAAAAGGTAAAAAGTCGAAAAAAAATTAAATTATTATTAAAGGAAAAAGTCCCTTTAATGGTGATAGTAATAAATGCTGATAGTAATAAAATTACCTAAAGGTTCATAGCCAAGTTCTAGTATGCCAGAGCCAGGCGATTCGTCGATGGTAACGACCAAAGTACGATACTCCAGCTCCTGTTGATACGGGACTCCACTTAGCAGTTTGCCACCGACAGAATTAATACGAAGTACCAATCGAAGACTGCGGCCTTTAGCTATAAAGTAATATAACACATTATGCATATAATATAAGTCAATTAAATTGTTTATGCAATATTGCAACCTTCGTAGCGTAGTGGTAAATACGTTATGTAAATTAAACCTTGATTTTGATTCCCAATCGGATCAATTTTGGAAATTATAAGGTATGCCATTAATACAAACGATCGAAGATGAGACTATTAGGTGCAGTAGTAGTGAAACAAGTTACAACTTACTTCTTACATTTATTGTGTACACCTTCGGTATGCCATCAATAGTTTCGCCGAAATCTTGTAGAACAAAATCGGTGTCAACTATACTCTCCACTTTGTAGCTAGGGAATCTGACATGTCCTGATATGCATCTGCAAAATTAGATTAGCTAAATAACTTACAAGTATTAAGCACAATAATTTTCCGTGTGGTAACGAAGCAAGAATTTGAAGTATCACTATATCATTTCACGCTCAGGTTATCGTTAGAGACGACTAAGCAAACGAACAATGCAACAGTTCAGAAAGTGTACACTAAATATATGTATATAAATTAAAGTAATATTAAAAATTATCCAATACGTACTGTGTCAAGATATTTCTATATGAAAGTCCACGAAGATGCACCAGAATGCCATCCTTAGACGACGCAGTGACGGTGACGGATCGCCTCCGACCTTCGTACCCGTTGGGCGCCCAACTCCTTTCTCTGACCCCTCGCAGGCGGAGATATTCGTCCTTCTGTGGAATGCCTTGCTAGTCGAAAGATTGAAAGCGGCCTTGCACGACACCAAATTGCATCCAACTTCCCTCCTCCCATGTTCCTCTGTACAAATGTCAAAAATTAATCTTATACCATATAAAATGTGAAATTATACAATAAATATATACTAATAGCAATAAATATATACAAATTTTGAAATAGTTGATATTTTCTGTGTAATCATAAAACAACAAATGAAAAGTAATATAAACAAAACACTAAAGCATAACAGCAAGCAAATTAAAGGAAATCTTTAATCGAGGAATGGACAGCAGCGTCCCATTTAAAACATCACTAAGGGTTAACTGCGGTTGCCAACCAGCCTACCCAGCGTGGCAACGACTGCCCCCCCAAGGGGACAGCCTATCTTCAGCAGTGAACAGTTAACGGCTAATATGGTGATGATAACAACAAGCAAAGTACGCCATATAAAGAGTTAGCTAATAATAATTTCCCAAAAAAGTGTTTAGGAATAGTGGAAAGCATACAGTAAATACGGCCATTTACTATCTCGCCATTGCTCCATAGCCAAAACTTGTGCGGCGAGCTCAGTGCTCCAGTCCTCAGGGTGGCGCACCACTTTAGTGGCAGATGACCAACTAAAACAAACAAGAATATTTTTATAAAATATAATAATGTATATTAGAAATTAAAACACCGACACCAAATAACAGGCTAAAAGAACAATATCAATTGATTATAATGATTATGTAAAATAAAAATAAAAAAACAGAGTCACATACATAAATTTAAAGTTAACATGCTGTGATTTGCCGTCTTCAACTGACATCAGGAGGCCATTGAACATAATTCTCAGCCGAATCTCCGGTTCTATGACCTGAGTCTTCAGTCCACCTGCGCTCCAAGCGCCTTCAGTGTCCTCCCAGTGGCATGTTATAGTGTCTGGATGGCCTAAAACATGTCATGGATTACTGTAACGATATCGCTTCAAGCTTAGGTGCGGATCCAGCCCTCAAAAAAGTTTGTAAAGTTTGCAACCCGAAAATCGGCCAAGTGCGAGTCGGAGTATGAACTCATTCATGATCGATCGCATTCATAAAAAGGTTGTTTATAAAATATATGACGCCTAAGATTTTGTTGTTAATTTTAAACTTTCGTGTTGTTTATTCATATTCTAAATACTCTTACGGAACTTCACGTGATAAAAAAATTTGCAGCTAAATAGTACCTACATACCTACTTCTTTACTGCTGATGTTTCGACGCGAATGACACCACGTCATGATCACGACAGGACCATGTCGTGAAAAGTCCCAATAGTGTATTTAATATAAGATTTTAAACAGTGTTTAGTTCTACATGGGACGAATAATAGTAAAATAATAAACCTGTAAAATATTATTATGCTCGCACACAAAAGTTAAAAAAGTATTAAAAGTATAAAGGTATTGGATATAATATTATCAGCCTATCGCCCCCAATAGATCGTGAAAGTGTAACGTTACAAGTTTATAAGGGTTGTGGGCATAGCCATCGTTCCATAACGGAGGATCCGCGCTTTTTCAAGCTATTACTGTAATATAAAGAACGACTCTCTTACTATGAATTGCGGTAAGTACATATCTACACAGTATTAGATCGAATCGAAGGGTGGGATATGGTAATAAAATTATAGGGTACAGAGGCATAATACCTTAATCCTAAAAAACGCATGAATTATATCATGAGTAACACAGCATACTCTGTTATGTACATGGAGCTGTCCTGTCTGTGGGTGACGATTAACACTTTCAATAACCTAAGTAGGGGTGGCCTATTCTAGCCTATTCTATGCCAGAACCACACGGCCACTAATAATATGAATATGAATAGTAATTATCCTGTCCTTTTCTAATTACGACAGTTAATTTTATTAAACGTGAGATTAAATTATACATGTAATTAATTAACAAAATAACTTACTAGGTAATCTATAACTGGATCCATCTGTTAACTTAACGTACACCGTCACTTCTGCGGTGGGTCGCCTGTCGCACAATTTGCGTATTCCCAGCAGCACGGCAGCGCCATCCGTGCTGGTGGCGCGCACGTCGACGGAGTCCCATCCGTCGTGCAAGTCAGCGCGAGGCAGCTCACTTGTAGGCACAAGCACGCACTGGGCCTTCCAGCGACCCACGGCATAGTACCGTGATAGCCACCGTTTAAGTGGATAGTTCCATCCTAAAATACATTACAGATTAATCATGACTGTCCAGATTACGTACAAATTTTACCGCAAAGTTGTTTTATATATCAATTACTCTTCTCCATCCAAAATTTGCCTGTCCTTACAGAGAGATCTATACTACTACTACTACTATACTAGATCGCTAAGAGCGATCCCTTGATCGCTCTTAGCGATAAAGCTACCCCATTGTTTTCTTAGTTTAATATTTTCTTATAATTGTTTGTATTTATAATAAGTTTAAAATTGTAATCTTATGGAGGAAGCAATAAAGATTATATATCTATCTACTCCTTTCTAGAAAAAGCACTCTTTAAAGTATTCTTTTTATTCATTCTGCTTTTGCTAAAAAATCAAATGCAAAAGTAAAGATTTTAAAGATGCGCTCCTTAAAAACTTTACTTTTGTACAGAATATATGTAATCGACGAGTATGCTTGCGACGCCCTGTAAAAATAAAAATATAAAATATGACTACGAACAGAGAAACTCTATTCTCTCTATCTCGCTAATGTCTTGGTGGGATATTAAAAATATAACATTAAAAAATATGTACTTATGTAAATACCTACTCAAAATAATGGTTTCTTCAATACGACTCCAAAAACACTACACAACCATTAACTTTGTCCTTGTCCATTTATCATTACATTATTTATTACCAAATCTAATCATTAATTATAACACATTGATATTGTTATGCAAAAACGCTTATCCACATAGGAACAAGCTACACATATACGCACACAATATCAAACCCGTGAGGATTTGATCTGTAATACGGTATGTTTTTTGGGGGCAGGGATTATTAGTAAAAGGGTCTAACCACCCACTTGCTAGCAATGTATAGAGTACATACAAGTTGACATCCATGCGGTTCTCCGTGAAAACTACCTTGTTTAATAATTGTTGAATTTATCACGATAGGCCAACTTCATCAAAACATCATCCTTAAGGACTTGAGCAAAATAACTGGACAAACTCAAGTTTATATATCGGATCACCGGTCCTATAGCTAGCAATATGCCCTGTTAGGTTGACCTCCACGTGGTCTCCCCTGGAAATCATCGTAACGAATTCCAGATGTATTCATCACGGTGGGCTAACAGACTTACCTTTTCATTTTCACCTATCATCACCCACTGGTGCCCCGCCAGCGTATACCGTGAGCGAAAGCAAAGTTACCATTCCATTATCATCCAAAAAAAAAGAATACGAACCTGGCTGCGAGTAATCTCCTTTATTTTGCGTTTGACGCTTGCTAAAGAATATTAGATAAGTGACCAACACAGATGTTATCAATCCGGCTTGCAACAATACATCGTATAGTTCCATGTTTAATAAAATACACTAATATCTTACGTGATTTTTTCAAATTGGATCACAATAAAGATTATATCCTCGCGAACTGTACTATAGACCAACTATGAATAACAAGCATACAAAACTGTGAAATCAATAATCATGATTAGTAAGTTATCTCATCACCGCAACTTTATTTGGCCGTGCAGGTATCGCATTCGATAAAGCGTCATATTTCATCAAAATAATGAAAATAAATACGAGCGTGAGTCGTACTGTCATGACAGTGTTCCGTACAATATATATTATCTAGATATTAATTAAAATAGTAACTAAGATTGATAATAACTGTAACTGAATTACAGACTCATTCTGAAGACTATTTGAAAGATATTTTTTTGCCAGGAAATTCATCCTCATATATGTTTCTTTTAAGACACTGCCTGTCGTAAAACAACTAACGACAGTAATACTAAAACAATGCTTAATATGTTAGGTATAATATTGTAATTTTTTTCATTACTGTCCTAATCAAATTTATTGTTGAATTTCTATTGTAGAACTTTACTACCAAAAACATTTGTTCACCACATACTTAGCCTTACTATTTATACAATGAAAATTATTATTATCATTTATGAAATAAGTATCTAAAACTTATTTTTGGTACTAGGATAATTCCCATTATGTTTCTCATATCCACATTTATCACTGTAGAAGAAACAATAGGTCTCCGTCATTATTTTCGTAACTTCTGATGCATAAGTACTAAAACATAACATATTTGAATTTAGAATGCGGATTCATCTCAAAATAAATTACCTACATGGAAATAAACGCAAAAATAATTATCAAAATCGGTTCAAAATTGACGATGTCATCGCATAACATTAACGAACAGTAACGAAAAATAATTTTAAAACTTTACGTGTGGTAATAAATACAGATATCGCCTTCTAGTCGGACTTTGTATATTATATCTATAATCTAAGATTATATCATAACTTTATATTGTTAATTTAAATTTAAACTGGTAAGCACCGTTCACAACAAACCTAATTACCCTAAAGATGGAGACTTTGTACAAAAGTCGATTGCTTAGGTACCTCTGTCCCATTCGTGTTTCTACTGTGAAATAGTTGTGTTTTGGTTTGAAGGGTGGGATATGGCGTGAATTTACAGGGTATAGAGGAATAACACCTGTATCCTCAGGAATGGCAACGCATGGGGGGTATCATGGGCAAAACAGTATACTCTGTTATGTCCATAGGCAACGGTTACCACTTTCCATCAGGTGGGCTGTCAGCTTGCTTGCCATTCTAAGTCGTATAAATAAAAAAAAGATGGCGTTGTAAATGGTAATGTAAGAGGATATATTTATTTATTTTTTTAATATAAATTATTGACATTGTTACATTATCTATATACCTACGTCATAACAAAATAAAACCGCATATTTATTGCAGGCTTAATCTGTTATCAGTAACATGATAAGTCTCTATAATAGAATTATATTCTCAATTGAATGCAAGCGATTAACTGCAAGTACCTAATTTCAGGTTGCCAATCCGCGCAAACGTGGCAACTACTAACAAAAGCCCCCTTATGGGAGAGGCTATGTTCAACAGTGGGCAGTTAACAGCTAATATACTACACCCTATAATATATAATACACCCAATTTCAACTTCTTTGCAGGTGACTACTTTTGTACTTCACTCTATTATCAATTTCTCTTTTCTTTTTATTTATTTTATAACGCACATTTCTCTTGCTTTTTATTTATTTTATAACGCATATTTTCCTAATAAAGTAAATCTGAGAGAGGTACAATAACTTGTCGAAATTCTATTTTTTAAAAACCTTAATTGAGATATCGATTCGAAATATCTGCAAGCTAAGTAGCTATGCGCCAACCATTATCCCTCCGGGGGAAAGGGATTGTTAGTAATGGAGACTGAGAATCCCATTGCTATCAATATACCCAACCAGGTCGACTTCCTCGCGATTCCCCCTGGAAACTATCATGGTTAATTCCTGATGAATTTATCATGATGGGCTAACTGGCCTGTTTTCATTCTCATCGATCACCCTTCACTAGTGCTCCGCCAGCGTATCCCGTTAGCGCAGGCGGGGTTACCATACCATTTTCACGCATAAAAAAAATCATTATCCCTCGTACGACTGATAAAATAACCGATTAATCAGAATGCTTCTAAAGTAGTGATCCCTGTAAAGACAAACGTAGTGTGAAGCCACTCTTGACGAGATATTAAAACTGCAATCTTCTTCACTCTATCCTATTAGATTGCGGGGAGTCGATAAACGTAAGTGAATCTTAGTTTGTGGTGATATAAATATATGAGAGTGTGTATATATTACCATTAGTTGGTAAGCAAGATGATAATGAATGAATTTGTAATATAATTAATTACAAATTCATTAAATTTTTTGTGTAATATTCATAATAATCAAATTACTAAAGGCATGACACAAAAAATTGGTCATTAGTTATAAATCTATTTAAAAAATTACTTTTCTTTTATCTAGAAGGATATAACTACAAATTAGCCCCGTAAAAAATATATAAAAATCAATGTAGTATTTCATAAAAGTTTAGTTTTATAATCAATATAACTTTTTTTACCTAAATGATCGCATTAATTCCCATCTCTAAACCATAGATTTGTAAATTATTTTCATATTCCACTGCGTGATTATACTAAATAATAGATTGACTTAATATGACAATATCGTAAAAACTTATTTCAGAATCTCTATTAAGCATATATTTTTCTTGTCGTTTCTTGGAGCAAGTTCAGTTTTGTAGTTACTAAATAGTAGCTACTGTAGTAAGTTGTCCGGGGATTTAGCACACTTAATACTCGTACAACTAATCTTGTATGTAGATACCCACATCCTAAATACGAGTACCTAGACATTCCGGTACGCTAACAAATAAAATTTCAAAACTTTTGCTTCAGTATATTTGCACCTAAAATATATCTTATAAAAACCGGATATGAAAGGTTTCGATAACACGATACGTGTATCACATTATCATTATATTGTAACAATTTCCTAGCTTAGTGTAAAATCATAATTAATTCTTTTTTTATTTATCAATATTAAATGACATTGGATTAGGGTACATACAACGAATAATCTTATGTACTGACATTTTTAAAAAACAAATAATAATTTTATATAAATATATATTTTATATATATTCTTTAAAGTGCAGGCCTTATCTTTATCTCGTCAGGTACTTTAATTCTACGCTGACGTTTATCATATATTTTCGAAATATCTATATTATAATAAAAATATTTCGGAACACAATTTTAGCTAAGAAAAACGGGTAAATAAAATATATTTTTTAAATCCACATTCTGTGAAAGAGTTCGTTTACTAACTGCACTATCTAATTTTCACATAGTGGATACCGAATTTATTCAAAACCAGGATGTGCAAAATTGAAAACCTCCAGTTATGAATCTGCAAATGAATATGTAGATAATAACGTCCGCGTATAAAGTTATTTGATGATATATTTTTTTATTTTATAAAAGCATTGGGCCAAATATACTGCCTTGTAAAACACCAAATTTTGTAGATAAATTACACTTCCATACTCACTTAAATTAATATGTTGTGTTTAGACTTTACAAGGTTAGTTCAAAAGCCTCTAAAACTCAGATTACACCTATCCCCCGATTTACACGGTAGATACGTTCCTGAGAAAAACGTGTAAATCGAAAAGCTTGCAGAAAATGCATAATTTTGCTATTTAACAGTTGTGATTTTTTTCAATATTTTTATTGTAGGTGATTTTTTTCAATATTTTTATTGTAATAGTTCTTATTGTAGCTTCGTTCATGTTATATGATTTTGCAACATCTACTACTCTATCTCCCTTTCGTAAGCGATACAAAATTTCGATTTTAGTTTCTAAAGAAATAACTTTTCTTTTAACTTCTTTCGACATTATAAGCCTATAATTTTTTTTTAATTTATGTTAATTTATAAAAATCTTAATTATGCACCCACTTGTAATTTACGAATATGAAAAATTAAATCTTTCTGACACTGTGAAACTTTCACTCTAATACAATTTTCCGTAGATAAAACTTTAATTTTATGCGAAGAAATACAGACACAGTGTGCATGTGCAGCAAGTCAGCACATAAGCTCGGGATTCCTCGTGAGATGTGTACACAGCGCACGTGTTCAAACACAGTAGCATTTAGTAGAGTGCGATAAAAACAAAAAAAAACTTATTTGGAAAACCGTGTAAAAGCGAAAACGTGTAAAACAAGTACCGTGTAAATCGGGGGATAGGTGTATTCAGTTTTGCGACAGAAATCATATCCAAATACTTATCAAGAACAAGAATTATTAAGGTTAAGCATTTTTCTTGAAGCTAAGAACTTTTATAACTTTAGCTTATCAAAATATATCAATGTCGTAATTATGGCAATATTCAAAAACAATATTAATTTTTTCTGATTTATTATTTAAAAAATATTCTATTAGCGAACCAGAACCATAATCATAGAATATGTTGCATATAAATTTACCACTAAAAACATTTTGACCTAGCTTTAATGGTATAATAATATATATATATATATATATATATATATATATATATAAAGTCGTTACTTTAATAAAATACAATATTACTAACTTAATAAATACCTTTTATTATCACAATTTAAAATACATTTTAATTAAATAGAATTACAAGATGGTTGGCGAAATTGTAGTGCAATTCCAATTCAGTATTTCAATGCTGTATCAACGTTGATATTCTTCAGATTTGTTCATTTGCACCTTTTCGATCAGTCCCTTGGTGCCTGAAAGTCTAACCATATCTCCTGTTTTGAAAATGTCTGTAGCATCCTCAGCCCCTACAATACAGGGTAAACCGTACTCACGAGCTATGACCGCACCTGTAAGATTTAAAACCAAAGGTTAAACAACAAACTTATCATTACTTATTTAGAAATAGAAATAAGAAGTTTTAGTATTAATTTATTTTTAGTTTTGATGATTTTAATTATAGTAGAATGAAAGTTTCTTTAATTACATGAACAAATTAAATTACTTATGATTTCTTCTATTTTAATCTATTAGTATTTTCATTTTAATCTGCGGCTCTTAAATAATTCTGCTATTATAACTTAAAACTAGTAAATTCTTCCTTATCGGTTCTCCCTGGATACTATCATGGTTAATTCCTGATGAATTCATCATGATGGGCAACTGGCCTATTTTCATTCTTATCGATCACCCTTCACTGGTGCTTCGCCAGCGTATCCCGTTAGCGTAGGCCATACCATTTATACCCATTGAAAAAAAACAAATTCTTCAATATTATTAATAACATTCAAAATAAATATATACCTATTTATAAGTCAATATGGATACGTACGTGTAATTGTTTATCTGTAACAATTTTCAATTTTTTTGCCGCATAATTACATTTTTGTTTTGCCATAGGTTGACTTGGAGAAAATGCTAAGTCCGTCCGTCTTTTGTACCAGACATTTTTTTGTAATATGGTCAATAAAGATTAAATAAATAAAAATCTACCTAACACCTTTTGAAGCATTATGACAGAATATAATATTATATTATGGTATAAAATATACTATGAGTATAATCACTGTTGATTGCAATATTCCAAACATTTGTTTAGAATCAATATTATATATATTTTGATATTAAAGTTCTAAAAATAATTGTTCTAAGAACCAACCGTGTGATATGAGACCACCGAGCTCTGTGACAATCCCTGTCAGGAGCGGAAAGTAGGGCGACCAGCCGATGTCGGTGGCATGCGTTATCAATACGTCACCTTGCTGCAGCTCATGGATCTGCAATAGGTACAAATTATTATACATAGTCACAGATTAAATGAAGAGCAATAAATGCTTGGTTTAAACAACTAAAATACATACATAATTTTTCAAACTACAATTTTTTTTAATAATTTTTTTTAATCTAAATAAAATCTAACCTCAGAAATATCTTTAACGACACAAGCCCTGGCTATAACCTCTCCCCCACAGACCGATGTGGCTTCCAACTTCACGTCTCCAGCCGTCACTACAGGAGAATTCACCGGTAGGGGATGTATCCATCCAGTGTTCATTTCCGCGTATTTAAGCTTACACCATTTTGAATAGTATTGTTGGCGCTGCATTGCTCTGTAATATGTTATTTACAAATTAAGATTCTCACTGATTCCAAATAAGAAAATCAGAAGGATAAAAAGAGAAGTTAAAATTACATTTAAAAGAAAATACTTATATGTATTTACTTACTTTCTCAATAATGCGGGGTCTCTATTAGTTATGTAGTCCCTCAACTCATTAGCTCGGAAAAAGAATATGAGATCATGGTGGGGTAAGTACCAATGGCGGACCAACTCCTTGCCGAGCTTGATAGCCGCTAACCGCAACTTGTGGACGCCCAAAATTAGATGCGCTTTGGTACTTTCTCTGTGACGTACTGTCCATCGACACAGTGGTAATATCCATGACAATACTTTCCTAAAATAGGAATAATATTAAATATAAGAAAGTATAATTTATAAAATATTTTATATTATGATGTAGATAAATAGAAATGTATAAATAACAACGCTACATGATGCGAATGTACATCAAACTTCGACGAATACAAAACTAACGACTATTATGAGCTCATGATATATAGATAGCGGGCACTGAGAAAGTAATCTCTATATTTTATAATTTTTTTTTTTTATATCACGAAAATGGTACATAAGCATACACTTAGTCTGATGATAAGCAGTAACTGTAGGCTATGGACGGCTGTGTCACTAAAGTTACCACGTGCGCGTTGCCGACTCTGAAGTTACCTTAATCCACCCTTTTTGAAGAACCCCATACTGTAATCTCTAGGGAAAACGCCGGCAGAGAGCTCATTCTTAGCTTAACCTGAGAAAACTCGTCTAAAAATGCACTGTACACGACCATAATAATAAGTAACATAATAAGTTGCTCAATAATACACGTAAGAGATAAGACCTCATCTCTTATTACCGCCTCTGACGCCTCTTATATGCAATCGTAGGCCACCCTATGCGACATATTCTAATAATGTCTATAGATTGTAAATGTCTATACCTTGTTTGCCAATCCTTGTATTTATTTTTATAAAAATGCGAAATTTAATATCTGAAATTACCTGGTACGGGGCTTCTTTGGAGTAGTTAGTGAAGCTATGATTTCAGAATCTGATTTCTTATCTTGGTTTTCTTTTTCGGTTACTTTTATATTTTGAAGAATTTTCATCAACTCTTCAGGAACCAAGGCCCATGGTTTAGTTATCATATCAAACTGTAATTACGTGTAAAGTTATTTTACTTATGTAAAAATTATATTCTTTAATTATGTAAAAATAATTATTACCATCACAAGGTTCCATTGCAATCACAACATCATTGTACAAATTTTTCAATACTTAAAGAAAATGCTTATTTATTTATTTTTAAGATATATATTAGCTGTACAAGACAATATATTCAATTCATTTACTACAAAAACGAGTATCTCTAACATTTTGACAAAATCTAGCGCAAGATGATTCGGCAGCTAAAATAAATATTAGTTATTAAAGCTAAAATGGTAGAAAGACGGACATATTCGCCAAGTCAGCAAAAGCAAAGAGTTACTAGAAGTCTTTTGGGACTACCTATATAATTTTGTGAAATTTTTAGGTGATGTTGTGTTTTATTTTGTATGTGTTTTTTTAACGTAACATTTACTACAAACTAAAATCTTTTTTATCGATGCTTTACTTTTCAAGACTAGAAATATGTTTATAGACTATCTATATTCAAGCGTGACACGACGATCGAAAGACCGATAAACAAAATTACGAGTACCATTTCAATACAATTACAGAACATTTAAAATAAATATATAATTTAAAGTAATATTTACCTCCATAATGGCTCTATGACCATGTTCTTTCAAGAACTCTAGCACCTCCGCGTGTATATCAGGTAAATTAGCTATCAACCAATCGAAAGCTTCTTTAGGGTCCTGTGCTTTGAATTGATCATATTTCCCCGAACCTCCCAGTTGACGTGCCAATTTCGCTAAACCTAAGGGTACTTCGGCAGATAGTACTTCTCCGGAATTAAGAAGTATGTTTATTTCGTTAAAATGTTCTGTTGTGAAATCTGTCAAAAAATCATTATGTATTAAATTAATTACAGATTTTTTTACATCAAAATAGTAACAAATTAAAATACCGCCACCGGATACAAATCTCATTATGGGTATAGAATCACGGAAATCGTTATAATGGTAGAATATACCAACGTTACTAAATAATTGAACCTTCCTGTAGATACTATTAAATGTGGATACCAGTACATTCTTTATTTTTTACACAACTTACGAGTAGAATGTCAAACAAGTCGATGGCTCACCTGATGGAAAGTGTTAACCACCGGCGGTGTTCCAATGCTTATAGGCATGAACAGAACTACGTATCAATGCTTTTTCAACATTAAATATGGCATGGAAATAAAATAAATAAGTATGTAGAATAAATTGAGATCATTACCTGCGGCACCTTCCAACAATATAGTCATTGCAATGTATTGACTAGAGGTACTAGCAGCAGTAGTGTAACTGTGATTCAATGATAAGCGATACATTGTATCCAATTCCTTTAGCAGAATCTTAAACGTTTCCAGGAGTTCATCGCTGTCCATTACTATATTCATTCTATTCGCTGTTTTAACACTATCGTCCATTTTCCATTTCGAATTAATGAGGTACTAAAATTTGCACAAATATATAGATCTTACCAGTCGGTTTTAAAGTATGAACAGATTGCCTTATTTTAATATTATAAACAGGAAAAAAAATTGTCTGTATGATTGTTTATTTGCATTTTTGTAATAGATAAACTCAAAAACTACTTAACTGATTTCAAAAATTGTTTCACCTATAAAAAGTTACGTTATCAACGAGCGACACATTATTTTTGAAAATTCTATATATCTATGCGTAATCGGATCATTAGTCATTATAGAAATTAATATTACCTTTAAAAGCATTCTAAATAGTCCAATTCTGTAGGTCCATTTAGGTGGTCGACGACGTAACGCTATATCGTACATGTTCTGGTCAGCAATCTTTTTTCCATGGAGAGCTATCTCAACCATACGTACGCCTGTGTTAATTACTTTAGGTACTCGGCGATAAGTTGTCTGTAAAATTTATAATAATCACTAAATATATGTAGTAATTCAAAGCCATTTCGGCTTTTAATAATTGTATTAGTAAATTTACTCTCCATAAAATTGTTAAAATATAGGAAAATTTTTAACACCCACGTTTCGATAAAACAAATGCCAAAATCGAAAGAATTTAAAAAAGGATCATAAAAGTGATGAACTTTAAAAAGAATCAAATGAACGTGATAATTTCACCAAAAAATTTTACTATAAAATGTAGTACAATTACAGTTTTTTTTATATAACATCATAAATAGGTGGTTTTTCAATCCAGTTTAATACTGCAGTTAAAAAATATCCAGAAAAATAGAAGTATTATACTTTTTTCTTTATGCCTTTGATACGCTAAAACTAGTATGTACTTATTTAGTCGATTTGAAGTATGGGATATGGCAGTGAATTTACAAGCTATAGAGGAAAAATACCTGAGTCCTCAGAAATGGCAACGCATGGGAGGTATCATGATACTCTGTTATGTCCATGGTACTACTCATATCAATGACGACGGTTACCACTTTCCATCAGATGAGCCGTCAGCCTGTTTGCCATTCTAAGTTGCATAAAAAAATATTTTAAACTTACACTGTATTCTGCTATTGCTACTCTGTTGTGAGTAATTAACAGGGTGTCCTCGTGTGGCTCCATATCTGTACTAATCATTTTATTCATGCCAGCAATCAGAGGTTTGATAACGAGGTCAGCGGTCAATGGAGTCACTGGTTTTGGGAATACCTGTATTTCAAACAATCGTATTTTGTTATCTTTATATGTTATCGTATTCTAAATTAAACTGATTTGTCATTATTATCAATAATCATCGCATTGTAGTCTCAAAAATTATTTATTTTTATTTAATTATAGTTTTAATAACACTGACACTTTTTGTTTTGATAATAAGGATTGAAAGAAACTTTGTGCTTTTAGACTTACAAATGTCTATGATCAAGTGCATGATTTATAATTAAACAGTAACTCACCTCACCAGTGTTAGCGAAGGTGGTAAGATCTTCGTCAGACATAATCGGCGTGTCCAGTTCGTGCAACAGTTCCTCCTCCGTCCAGCGCTCCAGGGACGTGATGGGTCGCGCTTGCAGTAGATACAAACCATTCTGTAAATAGTTAAAAAGTAGGAGTATTTTTTTAAAGGGTGATAATGAAATGGTAATCCTGTTTGCGCTACCGATATACGCTGGCGAAACACCAGTGAGTGATGATAGGTGAGGATGAAAGCAAGTCAGTAGGCTCATCGCGACGAATTCGAATAGAATAAACCAAGATGGTTTCCAAGGGGAACCGCGTGGAGGTCGACCTGATATATTGCTAGCAACGGACTTGTCAGATCCTCTTTACTAACAATCCCTTTCCCCCCAAAGCAGCAGCATTAAATGGAGACAAACTTTTATTCTTATAAGTATATACATATATATGAGTTCTAGATATTTGTTTCAATTTGTTTATAAAACGTTAACAAGAAAAATAATTTAATAATATCTATTTGTTATCTAGGTTTTGGTACATATAGTATATTCTGTAATTAAAGGATTAATGTGCAAATTGTTAATAATTTATCTACGATCACATTTAGTTCCTAGATATTGTTCTTACATCAGCAAATGCCCACTCGATATCCCTGCCAGCTCCCCAGAGTTCCTCTTGGGCCACTCCAACCTGGGCCAACTTCAACATTTCAGCTTCAGATATACACGCAACCCCACGTTCTGTTTCCGGTACATCCTCAGTGGTGACCCCATCACTGGCGGTCGTCACTCGCTGTGTCTTCGAGCCCAATTCGATTTTCATGATTTTAAGATCACCTCCTTGACCTCGTCTTATTATTATTGTATCTGGTTCGACTGATCCCGATACAACAGTCTGCAAATAAATTCGGTTATGAAATTCTATAGTGTTCTAGCAGCAGCAAGGTGACATTAATGAGGTTTATGGATGAGATATTATTACAAAGTAGACCGTGGGAGACTACAACTGGATTGCATACACATTAACATGTTTTACATCCATACCCCAATATTCTAGATGTTAAAAGTGCTGCAGATGCTTCTGCGACTGATAGCCAAGTACTCAGTAAAATCAAAGAATATCAAATAAAAACAGAAATTTACAGTGAAACATGATGATAATAATTAACAAAAGGATGTTATAAATACTAATTGTTACCTAATCCATAATTACTACATGAGTAGCAATAGCCTATGCGTACCTCACCGAGACCGTAGTTAGCGGTGATTAGGAGACGCGAGGCGTCGCCACGATCGGGATGGCGTGTAAACATGACGCCGGCAGCGCGCGCCACTACCAACGCCTGTACCACCACGCCGCCGCCACACACGCACTGCTGCCCGTTCTGCCTGTGGCCGCACAAGAGGTTCGTTAATTTCGCGCACTTGCATGCACGCCACCACGGGGCAGCACTCTACGTACCTGCGGTAGTAGGCACTGGTGAAGGCGAACATGGAGGCCCAGCACTGCTGCACCGCACGCACTACCTGCTCATCGCTCGTGCAACCTAGGATCGTTTCATTCTGGCCGGCCGCCGACAGCGTCTCGCTGTCTTCACCCACAGCTATTATAATAAATTCAAATTACTTAAAAATCGTTATTATAAGTCTAAATTAAAAACATTTCTTGGTCATTAATGCTGCTATACTCACCCGAAGATCTTACTGCAAATCGTTGCTCCAAATTTTGTTTCGTAGTTACATTTCTCAGCTCCTTTAGGTGATTGAGTATTTCATTTCTTACGTCTGGAGTTATTTCTGTATTAATAAATAATTCTACAGTCCTAAAATATAAAATCTCAATTAGTAACAGTCTAAAATCGTTAAGTAAGAAAAAAAAATCTTTTGAAGGTTACATTTATTATTAAAATATAAACTTCAGCAGATATTCTTTAATCATCATCTATTTGTAACGTTTGGGAGAAAATTAATAGAAACCAGAGACGTTATCTGTAGTAGAGTATGAATATATAAACAATAGTTAATTTTAAACAAGTTACAAAAACAAATATTTTACCTACCACTTACACAATCTGCACTAACTTTTTTTTTATAATCAGCAATTTCTATCGTTTATTATCGGTGTTTATATGATACATGTTTTAGGTGTCATGATTAGTACCAATCATTTATTATTTATTACTATTAAGGAAATTATTCATAAATTTTGTTTCGTTAATAACTAAAGAAATAACATACTTTGTGCATTTATCTTTAAAATTTGTCTCGTCGTAGTCTTCATTAGCGGCCTCGATCTCTCGAATAGCCGCCAGTAGTGTGGGATTAGCTTCGAGCTGTTTCTCCAAAGCTCGTACAGTTAAACAAAATCCTGGTGGCACTTTGTAGCCCTGAAAACCAAGTTTATTGTTCTGAAGATTTAGAACCATTAAAAAATATAAAAATAAAAGTGCACACATAAATATATGTCGGCAAGTTGAGTGCTCACATCTTTAATCAATCGTGAGAACGATCGGCTAATAATAAACATGGAGCCTACCATGAAATGAAATTCCGAAGTTTCGGACTCAATTTCGTGTTTTTTTTCTCACCTAAGACGGCCCAGTAAATGGAACTTAACATTTCGTTCGTCACAAATCCTACCATAAAAGTCCAAAGATATAATATTTTAATATTTTTAATGTTTTTGAACGGCTTACCGTATTATGTAATTTTAACATCATATTTGTGTTTCATTCGGCTCCGGAATTTCGAAAAACATTTCATGGTAGGCCCTCATGTCACGAAATAACAGCTATTAAAAGTTTCTATGTATAGACTTAAGTACGTAACGTCCTTGTGTGTATTTGGTTGATTGTTGTTATTGTTTCAACGAGTATTGTCGACTATTTATTATTGAACATGGATCTCTACCATATTAATTCTGAGAGAATCTGCGTCTATCAATTGCGTATAACATTTGAGATCGTCGCATATAAAATAATATAAATATTTATATTATATTATGTGAAATGTTAGGATACTACATAATAAATATTACACGAATAGTAAAATATTATGTTTTACTGGATTTGATATAATTTTACGGAAATCCATAGCACTGGTTAGTTAATTATAATTCGTTGCTGAATATAGAATATAATAATAGTCTGAGCGCCGAATGGTTAACATTAGGTTCCGAGTAGTGATTGCTAAATTACCTAATGCCTCGTTCAAAGGTGCATCACGTAAAACAATACGTATATAGACTCAATATCAGTCAGACACTGTAGACAATTCAATGACGAAGGTCATAGAACCATAATAGTAGTCAATCCTCAAATGTTGGTAATCGCATGCATACTAATAGCAGAGATTATATATTTTATATTGTCTCAACTAACGGTAGCGGAATTAAAAAAAAACATTCTAATCAACTAGGAAAGTGTTATTACTCAAAAACCTTCCAACTGAATAGTTTTGGTTCTTCGAAATATATACTCGATGTCTTTACCAGTTCAACTTGTTTTTTCTAAACTATGGTGCAAGCAGGTTGGATAATAATAGTCATCACTAGGTACTTATTTAATTCTACTACGAAACAACAAAGCGTGTGTAGCTGTATTTTTGTCTGAAAGTTAAGCATGTCAGGTCATAATAAGTATACGAGACTTAATACCTTATAGGATTTAACCTAGGATTTTTTTATATCACTGAGGTGGCAAACAAGCATACGGCCCACCTGATGGTAAGTGGTTACCGTAACCTATGAACACCTGCAATACCAGAGGCATCACGTGTGCGCTGCCGACCCCGAAGAAACCTCCTTACCCCCCTTTTGAAGAACCCCATGCTGTAGGCTCTTGGGAAAACCTCGGCAGGATAGAATAAATATATTTTGTTCCCTAATTGTCAAACTACTTAGAAAAACAGACTTTTTATATATGTTCTCTGATAAAATATCTCGTAGAACAGTGTATTCTGTTTTATACGCGTTACACACACCCACCTCAGCATCCTGCACGGAAGCGAGCAAAGCCAGCGAGGCGCCCTTGCCGCCGACGTAGTCGGGACAGGCGGCTGCACGCGCTTCGAACGGCAGACAGTAGCCCACCGAGCCCGCATCGCTCGCGCTGAGCCATCGGAGGACACGCGGCGGGGACACGCGCACTACTGGCTCCGATATAACTATAAAAAAAAACAAAACATTGATAACAGCCAACCGCGAAATTACTTAATAACAAAAAAATCAATGAGAGCAAAGCCGATGAACACATACTAGTTTTATAACATATGGAGAAATAAATCATCCGTGGATCTTCATAGAAGGATTTGCTTGTTTCAAAATATTTTTACCTGAAGTTTCATAGCCAAGTTCAAGTATGCCCGAGCCGGGCGACTCGTCGATATCGACCACCAAAGTACGATACTCTAACTCCTGCTGGTACGGGACTCCACTTAGCAGTTTACCGCCATCGGAGTTAATCCGTAGCACTATGCGAATTGTGTAGCTTTTAGTTGTAAGAATAAAAACGATCGGTTGTATAAATGAAATAAAAAAATATTTATTCATTTATCTGCCCATCTATAACAGCCCTATTACTAGCAATATACCCTTATCCATACGGTCCCCCTGGAAATCATCATGGTTAATTCTTGTGGAATTCGTCACGCCTGCTATCATTCTCGCCTATCTCCCTTACTGGTGTCCCGTCAATGTATACATTTAACACAGGCGGGGTTTCCATTCCATTCCCATGCGTTAGAAAAAACTACCATTAAAAAGTAGGTACAGAGTAATAAATACAAGAAACAAGAAAAATAAACAAAGTTCGCACTCAATTAATTATAATTGAATAACTGTTAATATTTTAAAGGAACTATTGAGTTCCTTTCAAATATTAACGTACCTAAATAAAATTCGTGGGCTATACCTACAATTAAACCTACTTAAAAAAATAGCGTTTAACTTACTGCTCACATTTATAGTGTAAACCTTCGGTATCCCGGCGATAGTTTCAGCGAAGTCTTTTAGTACAAAGTCTGTATTGATTATTGTCTCCACTTTGAAGTTTGGGAATCTGACGTGTCCTGATATGCATCTAAAAACATAAATTAACAAACTCTAACCACAGCATAGCAAGATGTAAATCAAACACCGCCTAATACGATATATTACAATCACAAAGTATCTACTATTACAAGGCAGCAAACAAGCTATCCCGATGTCTTAAGAGGCAACTAAACATCGAGGGACGGACAGCAACATCCCTCTTAAAACATCGCCAAAGCCTAATTACGGTTGCTAACCCTCTTGCTAAGCGTGCCAACTACTGGCAAGACCCCCCAAGGAAGAGCTTATATTTAACAGTTGATATGATGACGGAATAAACTATCACCACCAAAAAAAATATATTTTATACCAAATGTAAGTCTATACATACTGTGTCAAAATATTTCTATATGAAATTCCACGAAGGTGCACCAGAGTACCGTCCTTAGACGATGCCGTGACGGTGACGGATCGCCTCCGACCCTCGTATCCGTTGGGCGCCCAACTTCTCTCTCTGACTCCCCGCAGGCGGAGATACTCGTCCTTCTGCAGGATACCTTGCTGGTCAAAGGATTGGAAGCGGCCTTGTACAACACCACCTTGCATCCAACCGCCCTCCTCCCATTTCCCTCTAGATAATTTATAATTATTCATTAAATAATTAAAAATAAGAAACTCATTACAATTCATTTCTAATAATAATAATAAAAGTTAGAGAGAAATCTAACTTCTCTCCAATATCAAAGGAAGACTATTTTACCATAAGTTCGTTCAATATAAGTCGCTATTAGATTAAATGTACGAATTACAAAATCAAATCACTTTGAATAACAGTACAAATCATTAACATGTCACATTTTATATTTTCAATGACATTTTCACTTAAATATAAAAAATTAAAATAAATAAAAATGAATCTGTTAGAAACTAACAGTAAATAGTGCCATTCGTTGTCTCGCCACTGCTCCAAAGCTAATGCTTGTGCAGCGAGCTCTGTGCTCCAGTCCTCAGGATGTCGTACAACGTTTGTTCCAGATCTCCATCTAAACGAAACACGTTCTATCAAATACACTTATGAGTACATTGACATTTCGTAAATACACATCGGACGCGCGTGGTAAATTTAATTAAATCGCATTATGATTAATGTCTGCATCCTCGGGTACATCGCGATTGCAACACATTGATAACATTATACAGATATTTTTATCAATATATTAATAGATTGATTAAAAATATATTAATAACAACTCCGATATATTATGTACCAATAACAAAATTCGCTAATGAAAATCTACGAAACTTCATGACAAATACGAGTACTCGTATTAAGTATAATTTTTTTTAATTTATACTGTACTATATCCGACTTTTACTTGTATAACAATTTAGTACAGTCTACTAGCCTTTACCCGCGACTTTGACCACGTGACCGGTATATATTTTTTGACCGGAACAAAATACTTTTTATATACTTCTTTTTTATACTTTTTATATAGGCTATTGCTTATATCTTTCTGCATCCCATATAATTACGCGCGAGACGCTGTGACGCAAAAGTCCGTACACCCCCTGAAGAAAACTTTTGGATAAAGTCGATACAATTGTCGGAAACGGCAAAAAAGTATGTTCGTTAATTTTCCTTTATATATGTATATAAGTATATTATAAAATTAACAAAAATTTTAAAAATATCTGACATTATCCATGTTGAACCGCCAACTTTATAGTTAATCATTAGTGCAATCACTATAACAGACTACATACATAAAATTAAAGTTAACATGCTGTGTGATGCCGTCTTCGACTGAAGTCAAGAGTCCGTTGAATATAATCCTCAGCCGTGTCTCCGGCTCCAGGATCTGGATCTTCAGTCCACCAGCGCTCCAAGCGCCTTCAGTGTCCTCCCAGTGACATATTATACTGTCTGGATGTCCTAGAATAAGCAATAGTGACTTATCATCATAATATCAACAGTCATTTGTTCATTGCTGAACATAAGCCTCCACCATAAACTTCCATAAGGGACGATCCTAAGCCACCTGCATCCACTGTCTGCCTACATTTGAAGTCGTTACTCCATAGAGTGTTCATCCTGCATTGCATTTGCCCCTACAGGGTCGCCACTCAAAACCCTTTTTGTTCCCATCGGTTGTCGTTTCTTCGAGCTATGTGACCAGCCCATTGCCACTTTAGTTTGTTCATCGTGACTTATGCTAACTTATAGTGCGATATAATTTAGGAACTAAAGATTCGACCTAAAATCGATATTAGAATTATTGCATTGTATAATATAAAAAAAAATATATCAAATACCAAAGCGGGAACCTCTAACCTTTCTTTTTGAAGTTTCATACATTCAAGAATTAATTGTAAATGTAAATTATTACAGAAAGTAAAGATATTTCCTAGAACCAAATCTACTGAGGCCTTTTATGCGAAACAAGCAACAATACATTAATATTTCGTTTACATCAATTTAAAGTATATAAATTGAAAGCGTCAAGTACACTCGAAGGTCGACTAGTTGAAGATGATTACGAATCATATATGTATGTATTTTTAGCGGTAATACGTCATAGGTTGTGAACTATACAAATCAGTTCCCAAAAGCAAGCATTACAGAACTGGCAACTTTTCCTCCTCGTCAGATATTAAGTGTTATTTCGACAAATATAATAACCAATTAGAAATTGTGGACGAATACAATTAAACTCGAATTTTTAGTTACTTTTTAAAGACTTGTTCCAGCTAATAACACAGTACATGATAACAACAATTCCGCAACTGATAAAAATCAAATTATACTATAATACAAAAACATTTTCTGTATCTAATTATTGATAAAACGGCATACTTGGTAATCTATAACTGGATCCATCCGGTAACTTGACGTACACAGTTACTTCTGCAGTGGGTCGCCTGCCGCACAATTTACGTATTCCTAGCAGCACGGCGGCGCCATCCGTGCTGGTGGCGCGCACGTCGATAGAGTCCCATCCGTCGTGCAAGTCAGCGCGAGGCAACTCGCTTATAGGTACAGGCACGCACTGGGCCTTCCAATGACCCACTGCATAGTACCGTGATAACCACAACTTAAGAATGTAATTCCATCCTGAAAAACAAATTTTAAACTTTCGCGTTGTTTACAAATATTTTAAATACACTATCGGTATTAAAGCGATGAAAATTGTTTTGCCTTTTCTTGCTACCTGCTTTTTTATTGATGATGCGACGAAAAATGCAGTCTTGTTTTTAAATAAATTTTAAAAGTATTCCATACTAGCCATATACTGCGACTTCGATCACATGAATCAGTACCTACACAAAGTATTCCGTATAGTAAGTTAATCATAGATATCTCTCCTCGTGGTTTTGCTGCTAAATAGCTATACTTACATAATACTTTCATTCAGTACAAAGGATCATTTTAGAATTAAAAGGTGGCTGAATTAAGCCTATTTATATGGAACGAAAACCATCGGTTTCAATTTATATCGAATTTATAGGCAGAAGCAACACACTAACATCTTAGGGATGGGACTACACTACATTAAACATTACTAACTATCTCTTCCTCAGTAAAAAAATTATTACTAACCCTGAGCACATCCATTGTGCCCTCAAACAAAAAAAATATTGAAGAAAGAAATATTGATATGAAATTACAGAGAATAGAGTACAGGGACAATGCAGAGTGCATTCGGGAGAGAAAGGATTGTTAGTAATGGGGAATAGCGACCCCATTGCTAACTATATACCTCAAGACCTGCTTTTATCCACACCCTTACTGGTACCCTTCTAGTGTATACCAATAGTGCAGGCGGAGTTACAATTTCATTTTTATTTCGAAAAAATGCACACTAGTCCTTAGGAATAGGGACGCATAATACACATCATACAAAAATAAAAAATCAATGGGCATCGCAGTGATTCTGTGATGGCCATGATACTGTAGTTTAGGCAACGATTACCGCTTTCAAACAAGCGAGACATAAACCTAAAATAAAGTAAAAAAATCCCATTACTAGCAATTAATTGCATTACGTGCACTTAATATAAAATAAAATAAATAAAATAATATCCCTGGTATTGTAGGCGTTCATAGGCTGCGATAACCGCATACTATCAGGTGGGCCGTATGCTTGTTTGCCACCTCAGTGGTATAAAAAAGAAAAATATATACCGTATCAAGACGACACCCACGCAAAACCTTACTCACTACTGCCTTACCAGAGTATACCGATAGGACGAGCGGGGTTACTATTCCATTATCATCCAATAAAAAAATACTCGTACTAGATTTCCTATCCTTTTCATCGAACCCCAAGTATTTATTATGCCTAATATCTATTGTAATTCTTAAAATGATAATATCTATTAGAGTATTAGTACGTAGAACTAGATAATTATTAATAAGTTAGAGATTATTATTAAGTTACACACACCGTATTTTTTACTTACAAGATGTGCCCGCGACTTCGTCTGCGTGACCGATATACATTTACCGGGAGAAAAAGCAGCATTACCTTCTTCATCCCAATAACCTACAACGTGTATAAGCTATGCCAGAGATAACAAACAAACATGCTCACCTTAACATTTATTATATTATATTTTAATATAATAACTACCAGTTTAACTTATTAGTCTCGTGACCATTCCAGACCTGACTATAGGCATTCGCGAATGATCCCGAAACTAAAGAAAGCTCGACAGCTTTCTTGACCAATTTACACATAAATTAAACTGGTAGTAACATTAAAATATAATGTTTACTACGAAACTTTTTACAGTCAAAATTATAATATTGATGAGAATTTACGAATCAAAACAATTACTGACCTGGCTGCCTATAATTTTCTTTATTTTGTGATTTTCGTTTCTTAAAGAATATTAAGTACACAACGAATACTGATGTTGCTAATCCAATTTGTAAGAATATATCAAAAAGTTCCATTCTTAACAATACTATAATTAAAGTAAATTAAACACATAAATTTATATACTAATATTTATCAACAAATGCGACACTACGCGTCTATATCAGATTAAAAGTCGCGCGAAACTGTGTGCTTCATCTCTACACTCAAGGTAATAAACGCACATACATGGGCAATCAATGGTCGTGACAACATGATTTCGATTTGTATCATCCTTGATAATGAATTAAATCCACCAAGTTAGTTTACTTGGTATCGGATCCGCTTGTCTGCCAGTCTTTTATCATAATTGTTTTATTACCAAGAACGATATTAAAAACATTCTGATAGACATATACAGAAATAGATAATTGTACACCATATGTAAATATGTCAGGCAATAAAGATATTTTTAATCTCTTTGGTATCCCTTCCAAATACGAGGTTTGTCCGGAAAGTACGTATAAAAGTTTTTTAAAAATTTTATTTTACAATTATTCAGGTAAATCAATTTTATCCCCTTCAAAGTACTCCCCCTGTGACATAATGCACTTGTGCCAACGCCGTTTCCACTGTGAGAAGGCTCCTTGAAAGTCCTCTGGTTGTAGGTTTCTCAGCTGCCCCGTCGTAGCTTTTTTTATCTCATTTATGTCCCCCAAATGCCGCCCCCGAAGTACCAATTTGTTTTTTGGGGACAAGAAGAAGTCACACGGGGCCAAATCCGGCGAATAGGGGGGTGTTCGGTCATAATGGAATTTTTACTCAAAAACTCACGGACAACAAGAGAGGTGTGGGCAGGGGCATTGTCGTGGTGAAGAATCCAACGCCCCTCTCGCGCCAATTCTGGACGAACTCGTGCCACACGAGCTTTGAGGCGAATGAGCACATCGACGTAGAATTTTCCATCAACTGTCTGGCCTGGAGGGACGAATTCTTGATGGACAATCCCCCGAACATCGAAAAAAACAATCAACATTGTCTTGACATTTGAGCGGGATTTTCTTGATTTTTTTGTTCGTGGTTCCCCGGATGTCTTCCACTCTTTGCTTTGGGATTTTAATTCGACATCAAATTCGTAGAACCAAGACTCATCTCCAGTGATGACTCGGTATCAAAAAGTCACCATTCTCTTCGGCTTCCAACCAGTCCTCACAGCAAGCAACTCTTCGTGATTTTTGATCCGGGGACAAATCTTGGCGCAAATTTTTTTCATTTGAAGTTCGTTTCTTAGAATTTCGTGGACCACGGTTTTGCCCAAATTAAGCTCTTCAGCCACCTGTCTGACCGTTAAACGACGGTCCCCATTAACACAAGTTCGAATTCTTTCCACGTTTTCGTCGGAATGTGAAGTGGAAGGACGTCCTGAACGTGGGTCATCTTGAACGCTTTCTCGGCCCTCTCTGAATCTTTTTAGCCACTTGTGGACGGTTGGTTCCTTCACAGCATCATCCCCATAAACTGTTCTGAGATCGGCAAAAATTTCACGGCCATTCTTGCCGAGTTTCGAGAGAAACTTGATTACGACGCGCTGCTCTTCAACGGAAGCGGGCTCCATGCTGACGGGGTTTCGTTAAGAGGTAACTTCACAGATGGCGTGACAAGCCAGTTCGCACCGCACGGCGGTCAGACCAGAACTGAAGCATTGTTAGGGACATAAGGAAGGGGTCCTGCGCTTACCTGGCCTACCCACTCCTCTTTCTCGCATTCCAGAACACTTTTATACGAACTTTCCGGACAGACCTCGTATGTATATCGTCGCTTGGCCTTCTGAAACAGGAACTTCTTAAACTTTTGGACTAACTACACACTCTCGAGTATGCGAAATATAATACCTATAGTTTTTTTTTTATGGGTGATAATGGAATGGTAACCCCGCCTGCGCTATCGGTATACGCTGGTGGGGCACCAGTGAGGGATGATAGGTGACGATGAAAGCAAGTCAGTTAGCTCATCGTGACGAATTCCACTAGAATTAATTACGGAGGTTTCCAGGGGGAACCGCGTGAAGGTCGACCTGATAGGGTGTATTGCTAGCAATGGGTTCATTAGACCCCGTTACTAACAGTCTCTTGCCCCCCCCAATACCTATTGTTTAAGTGACTTTACTTGTTGTTCCTCCAATAGCCTAATAATAACTTGGTAACAAACACCTGGGAACACCAGTCTCCCTCGTTGCCAACTATACAATATTCTTCGATATTGCACTGAAGATTCAAATATTAATTATATACTTGTACTGGTATGCCGCGCCGGATTCGCACGTGTAAAAAGCGTATATGCTTACATTTGCATTGTATCAGCTTATTGCGTCGAGTATAAATTAAATCGGTATAATAAGATATCCTTAAAAGATAAACATATACCGTCGCAGATTTTTTTGTACATCTGTAAAAGAGAAACAACCCCACCATACTTTATTATAACTCAAAGCTCCCAAATGGCTTGATTTTTCCGGCATCTTAAACATTCTACTAATTTACATAAAACCTTAAAAAATTATATCCTTCCTGAAGAACCTTCCTCAGGAATCGTTCTATTGATAAATGAAAACTGCACGTAAATATGTTCAGTAGTTTTTGAGGCCATAACGAAAAACGTAACTTTTGCTATTATTTTCTGAACAGTACACAGGACAATCAACAGGAAATTCCCTCATTGGCCATTGACCTTGTAATCACATTAGATAAGTTTTATCATAAATACACAGGTATTTTAATCATGTTTAAAGTGAAGATTATTTGCAATTATTATTCATTAATCATATTAGATTAAACAAAAACAAAGTGCAATTAATAATGCGATAGGCAACCAAATGTATGCGCTATCTTAGGTTATTTTAAAGTCAGTTTTAGATAAGATGGGATTCCGTCCGTGAACACCATTTGTCCATATGTCCAAATATAACATCAAATGAAAATGCTTCATTTGCATATTCCAAAATATATTTTAATTTATTGAACCTCATACTTTTTAGCTTAATTTGATATTATTTATCAATATCCAATCAAATATATTGCCAAGTTTTTGAACGGGCTGAAATAATACCAATAAAAATAAAATATTAAATAATAGTTACAAGAAAAAATAATGAACCATCATTATGTACTAATCACGTATTTAATAACATTTAACAAGAATTATTTTGTTTAATTTCGCTACAAAATAAAAAAAAGAAAAACTAAATAACTCTAATTAAATAACCAGTGATGTGGACTTACGTAAGATAACATCTAGTTCAGTAAAATATTTAATAAATTATTTATTTAAACCTTAATGTTGTGTAAATGTACTTATATTTAGTCGACTTAAGACAGGGCGGTATTCTCTGTAATATTATTTATAAAAATACTTCCCAAACTTAGAGCGGATTCAATTCTCCTCGACTTCCCGAAAATGTGCAGAACCCTCGGTGTGCAAACGGTCTTACACTTAGCCGGTTATTTTCCACTAAAAGCGCCTTTATTAAATTCATAAAATCCGGATTTATCAAAATTATCAATATTGTAGTCTGCGTTAATGTCTGCATTATTGATTATTTATTTATCGAAAAATTCTATTTCACAGTTTCACTGATAAAACAGTTACCTACCTTACTCGAAATAATCCTTGCAAAATGTACTGTAATTATGTTTTCTACAATGGAATTTTTTTATTTATGTTATCATATTTGCGTCGTATTATATACATAAAATATAGTAGTTAATTATTAAAAAAAGAGTACGTCATTTATCAGTAGTTGCATATTCACAAAAAACTATAATATCAAAATAAAAAAAAAAAAAAACATTACAAGGCTGTGTTTCGGTTTAAAGGTTTAAATATGGCGTGAATTTACTGGGTACGGAGCAATAACACCTAAGTCCTCAGGAATGGTAACGCATGGGGATATCATGGGCGAAACAGTAACTGCTCATGTCTATAGGCGACGGTTACCACTTTCCATCAGGTAGGCCGTCAGCTTGTTTGCCATTCTAAGTTGTATAAAAAAAAGAGCCGAAAATGAATGACTAAAAAAATTTCTAACTCAAATGTTGCGTAATTTCTAACCTCCACGCAAATAAAAAACACTAGCGATCTTATTATTTCGATAAATACCTATCTGTATGTGCTCGCCGTTCTGTCTGTGTGTGCTCTGAAAACGCCGTGTCGCGTTTTCAGAGCACTACCTTAGTTGTTGTCTGAATATTTAACGTGATATGTTCATACCTAAATTATTGCCTAGTAAGAGCCACATATATATCTATAAGTTATAATATGTGCTTATTGATAAAAAACAATAAATAAATAAAATGTGATTATGAATAATAAATATATACAAACTTTTTTTTAAATGAGACAAACCAAAAATCATTTAAAGGGTATAAATAAACTGATTACCCATTAATAATCTTATTATCTATTTATTTAATTTTTTTTTGTGGGTGAAATGGTATGGTAACCCCGCCTGCGCTAACGGGATACGCTGGCGGAGCACCAGTGAAGGGTGATAGATGAGAATGAAAACAGGCTAGTTAGCCCATCATGATGAATTCATCAGGAATTAAACATGGTAGTTTCCAGGGAGAACCGCGAGGAGGTCGACCTGGTTGGGCATATTGCTAGCAATGGGATTCTCAGTCTCCATTACTAACAATCCCTTTCCCCCCAATAAAATATTATTATATATGTATAACACCTACTGATCACTTTGAAATCAATGTAAAGTCAAATAAATAGGGAACTTTCTTCCCTATTTATTTATTAGATTGTTAGTAATGGGGTCAAATATACCCTATCATATCGACCTCCACATGGTTTCCCCTGGAAACCATCATTTTTATTTCTAGTCGAATTCGTCAAGATGGGCTAACTGACCTGCTTTTATCCTCATCTGTCATCTCTTACTGGTGCCCCGCCAATGTATACCGAAAGCGCAGGCGGGGTTACCATTCCATTATCACCCATTAAAAAAAAGCCAAATATTTAAGTAGGCTACTACCTAAGGCTACTTACTACGTACGCCCGCCCGTACGGGGTGAATAGTTACGCTTATATTATCTGTAGTTACGCCTAATACATGGACCACCAATATCGCACAATATTTTAAATTTCAAACTGACAGCAAAACCTGATAGTTGATGAGAATCGCTCTATAAAGCTCACTTTGTAACTTTTGGTACGGAACCCTAATTAATAAAAAAAAAATATAAAAGGAATCGAAAAATAAAGAAGATCTGATGAAAGTACAGCAACACTCTAAAATGTGATTTTTTTAATAAATATACTATGTTACTTTAAAAAATCTTTTATTATTAGATAAAATTAAAATACATTTTGTTTAAAACATTCACAGCGACATTTCTATTATAATAATAATAATAATATTTATTTATTTAGACAACATATATGTTCACAATAAGGTTCACAATAACATTAACATCCCATCATCACGTTCTAAAATAATTTAAATCCAATCTATACATGGTTTATCAACTTTGACTTTCGTCACATTGATCTGCTATTTGCACTTTTTCTATTAAACCCTTGGTGCCGGAAAGTCTAACGATGTCTCCTGTTTTGAAAATATCTGTAGCATCCATAGCTGCTACAATACAGGGTAAACCGTACTCGCGTGCTATAACTGCACCTGTGATTAAAAATAAATAGAAATTAAAATACAAGTTTGTTAGTCAACACAATAATGAATGTCTGCACATGGACGTATGTTTCCATAGATAAAATTTCACTTTTTATCATACTACTAGTATAAGCCCAAGGACTTCCACAATACGTGTGCATTTTTGTTGTAAATGGTCGAATATATAAAGTGCTTATTAGAAAGAAAAAAATAATTTAGAAAATTGTATACTTTTATTAGAATAAAAAAAGGACAAGAAAACAAATATTGTAGTAACATCCAACAGTAATTTTAAAATTATGTTAAAGTAAATATATCAAAACATTTCTATCAACAGTTTTGGCGTGAAATTTGAGTTTCCTTCTGCATGCAAAATATACATAATATAAAATTCGCAGTTAAAACGTCCCGTCTACACAAACCATAATTTATCTTAGTGTCGTTTGTTCTTATTAGATCGTGGTAAAATAGAGATTACTTAGGTATATAATTGAGAGTAGTTAGAAATAAAAATTTTAAGTGGAAAACAATCAAAATAAATACTTAATAATGTCGATAAAAAAATACAAAACATATATAACAAAAAATACAAAGCTGATCTTAAAAAATAAGAAAATACACCAACCGTGTGATACGAGACCACCGAGCTCTGTGACGATCCCTGTCACGAGCGGGAAGTAAGGCGACCAGCCGATGTCTGTGGCATGCGTTATCAATACGTCACCTTGTTGCAGCTGATGAATCTGTAATAAGTATAAATTATTATATACAATCACTTGTTAAATAATTGATTTAAATTAAATATTGCTCAGAACAATTGACATTTTATTTTTAAGGATAAAATTATTCATTGTAAACAAAATCTAACCTCAGAAATATCTTTAACAACGCAAGCCCTAGCTATAACCTCTCCCCCACAGACCGATGTAGCTTCCAGCTTTACGTCTCCAGCTGTCACTGCTGGAGAAGTCACCGGTAAAGGCTGAACCCATCCTGTGTTCATTTCCGCATATTTAAGCTTACACCATTTTGGATAATACTGTTGGCGTTGTATTGCTCTGCAATTTGTTACGATTGTAATTATTATCAGAACCTACAAATCTTACATTGACACAAAATTAGACAAAAAGAAAGAACTATAATTTTATTGTATTCACTCACTTCCTTAGTAACGCTGGATCTCTACTAGTAATGTAGTCAGCCAACTCTTTCACTCGGAAGAAGAATACAAGATCATGGTGCGGCAAGTACCAACGGCGCACCAACTCCTTGCCGAGTTCGATAGCCGCTAAACGCAATTTGTGGATGCCAAGGATTAGATGTGCCTTTGTGCCCTCTCTGTGACGCACTGTTCGGCGACATAGTGGTAGTACCCAAGACAGTATATACCTACAAATAAAATAAAATACATATTACAAATTAACTAGCTAACATATACAACATTGTACAGCAAAATAATAAATGGAAATTTAATACCTACAAGAATAATCAAGAATTTATTAGTTATTCATAATTAGAATGTCAAATAGCTATAGATTTACCTAGTAATTGATTTTTTTGGAGTACTCAGCGCTGCGATTATTTCAGAATCAGTTTTCCTTTCCTGATTTTTTTCGGTCGCTCTTAAGTTTTGAAGAATTTTCATTAGCTCTTCAGGAACCAAGGCCCATGGTTTGGTTACCATATCAAACTGTAGTAAATAACAATATATTACATACTAGATATATAGTTATAATCTATATTTTAGTTTTAACACACTTCTAAAAACTGCTAAGCATATGGTCATCACCATCATATCAGCTGTAATTTGTTCACTGCTGAACATAGGCCTCCCCCATAAACTGTTATAAGGAATAACCCGTTCCCTATGGCAGTTTAACATTAGGGGATTTTTGTCAGTAGTTGCCACGTTTAGCAACCACAGTGTGTATTTTGGTACTATTTTAAGAGGAACGCTTCTGTCCATTCCTCGAACATTAAGTTCTCTTAGTCGTTTCTTACTACATCCACGGGAAAGGAAGAGATGGCCCGTTTTACGCCAGGACCACACGGCAGCATATGGTATATGTTAGTACTGTAAGTACTTCCACAGTTGCCAACAAATTATTCTTGCATGAACCGATATTGTCAAAATAAATATTTATATCAATTTTAGTATTATTTACCTCCATAATAGCTCTATGACCGTGTTCTTTCAAGAAATCTAACACATTCACATGTATATTGGGTAAATTGATCATCAGCCAATCTAGAGCTTTCTTGGGGTCCTGTGCCTTAAATTGGTCACGTTTTCCTGACTCCTCCAGTTGGCGTGCCAATTTCGCTAGACCTAATGGCACTTCGGCAGATAATACGTCTCCAGAGCTAAGCAATGTATTTATTTCATTGCATTGTTCAGTTGTAAAATCTATCAAAAAAAGAAAATTCAGGAGTAATTAAATAACCTAGGTTTTTAGCCTAGGTCAAACCTACACCCACATCTCTTGCTTTATCCATTTCATAAGTAATCAATAATTTTATTTTAAATATTATATGCTCTAAAATGGCATACATAAGACATTTCATTTCTACTTCAGTCTACTGTTTGTCAGACTTTATTTCTATGAGCATTATTAATAAATTATTAATTCTTATTGCTAACGTGATAAAGTTTAAAAAGTTACCAGAAGCGCCTTCTAACAATACAGACATCGCAATGAATTGACTAGAGGTGCTAGCAGCACTGGTGAAACTGTGATTGCTGGAAAGACGCTTCATTGTGTCCAATTCCTTTATCAAAGTCTCGAACATTTCCAGAGGTTCATTGCTGTTCATTTTTATATTCATTTCATTTGCTGTTTTAACGCTATCCTCCATATTCCACTTAGAAGAAATTAGACACTGAAATTTGAACAAATATGTTACTGAAGATAAACAGAGCATTAGGTTAATTTTTTATAGCATATATTCATTATAAAAAATTATCAATAGACTAAATAATATAGGCTACGACTCACTCATTAATAGTAATTAAATGATCTTTTACTAGTTAAGTAAAAAAAAGTAATTTAAAAGTAAAAAAAGTTATTTGATTAGAATTATTTTTATATTCCACTACCATTAGTATGTGTGTGGCTGCTAACACTCGAAGAACCACAATACAACCAGAAATTCCTCAACTTTCCATATTAGCCACCAATCTCTGACTGCCATTTTGTTTACATGTTTTACGACATGGAGCCTACATACCTGCTTTTCAATGAATAATGATAATAAAGAAGTAGGTATGAAAGTACTATTTACCTGCAAATTCATAGCGTAGTTTATCTGAAGATCCCTCATTTAGAGATGAAACACGTATCGTAAAATGGCAGTCGGAGATTGATGGCTAATAAGAAGGTTGTAGAACTTCTAGTAATAATGGTGGTGGTCAATCTTCGAGTGTTCGTAATTACTAACATACTAATAGTACCGGAATTAAACATAATAATTCTAATCAAATAATTAATTAAATAATGACCCAATTATTTTACCGATATAAATAAAGGTGATAAAATAATTGCAACTATCTTTATTCACAAAAACATATAAGTAACACTAGTTACCATTTCAACAAAATTAAATAATAAGAGAAAAATTCAACAACTATTTAAATAAATATTACCGTTAAAAGGCCTTTCACTACTTCAATGATGTCGGTCCAATGCGGCGGTCGACGTCGTAATGCCACATCTAAAATGTTCTGGTCGGCAACTTTCCTTCCATGAAGAGCCATCTCGAGCATACGTATGTTCATATCGATTTCTTTAGGCGCTCTCCTATATGCTGACTGTAATTATAGGTACTCTTTTGTACACTGTAAGTACACTTCAAAATCAAAAGAATACAAAATTTTTAGACTGCAACTTAGGTTTAATATGGATTAAACAATAAATATTAAAATTTATTAGATACATACTACTGTATGGCAACAAGAGTTAAATATGTGAGAAAGAGAATGAAAGTTTAAAAAGTTATTCAGTTGAAATGCGAATATAATACAAAATCAGCGTAAATATTGGTGATAGAATAATAGAACAGCCGTGTGATTTAAAAATATCTAATTATCATTTATCTCAGCATGAGGATCCCAAAAATAAATTAAAAAAAGAAACACTTTATCACCAATTTTGTAAACTTTTATAAAATACTTACGTTGTACAATGATATTGTAACCCTATTATGAGTAATTATTATGCTGTCTTCGTATGGTTCCATGTTATTACTGACCATAGTGTTCATACTACTTGTTAGAGGATTGACGACGAGGTCGACATTCAACGGACTCACTGGCTTTGGAAATACCTGTATTTTCAAACTTTTATTAGACATAATATTCTAAATTCTTAACAACCTATGTTGATTATCGATAATATACAAATCTACTTATTGCCTTATCTATATATATATATATGTATGCTTGGTACTAAAATACAATCTGTATCCAAGCAGAATGTAGTAAGTAAAGTACATAGAGACAGCGATAGTAAGACAGTAGAGACGCTTTCCTCAAAAACTAATGTTTGTAGTAAATAACTAATACAACACCAATTGTAACTATTCCCTATGAGTTTGATGATAATTGCTTTTATGTTCTGGAATAGCTATTCTTACATTCTTCGTCTTTTCAAGTTTTTTTTTTTTATTTAAACGATAATCCAAAGTAATCTTCCTCATTTTTAACAGTAATTAGTACCTCACCTCACCAGTGTTGGCGAAAGTGATGAGATCTTCATCAGACATGATCGGTGAGTCTAGTTCGTGCAACAGTTCCTCCTCCGTCCAGCGCTCCAGGGACGTGATGGGCCGCGCTTGTAGTAGATACAAACCATTCTGAGAGTTAGAAACTAACGTTAATTTCTATTTTACATTTGGCAATTTAAAATGTATAAACATTAACATTTTAATTTTATACATAGCAACACACACAACAAATTCTGCTTGTAACTGTATCCACAATTGTTTGATCGAAATTAAATAATTATTCACTTCATACCACAATGTTCTTTTATTATTTCAACTCCAATTATCAACTTTAGCTATTTGTACACTGAAAATAGTAAATAATGCAAGTAGGCACTAGCTGTAACTGATAAAAAAAAAATTGAAGAAAATGGATCTATTTAGAGACATGATAAATATTCCCAGTGCTCTTATTAATTTAACAATTAATTTCGCTCAAGGGGAACATATCATTGACATACAACTAAAACAGCATTGGGTATAATAGCATAGCACCTTACAGGATGCCAACATCAATGACCATACTTTCTACCCACTTACCATAGAATCATTGACTATATTTAGATATTATATAAAATTCCATAACAAGATAATGCAGAGCTTCATATAAAGACCCAGTACCAAACCTGATTGATAAGCTTTGCTATGTTAAGAGTGACAAATTATTCTTCACTGTTGACATTCAATGATAAAAACCCATCCACGTGCCCAAGACAATAATGAAAGCCACTTTAGCAGTAGCTCAATATTCTCTAGGTATCTCAACGACTGTGAGTTATTCGATGCTCTATCTATTATATTCATATTAACCTCAAACCCTTAAGAATATATAAAAAATGAGAAAAGACCACTATTGAAATAACAAATTTAGCATTTCTATCTACTTTAACAACAACCATCATACTTAGAAACTGTTGTTCTTACCTTGGTAATAGCCCACTCGATATCCCTGCCTGCTCCCCACAGCTGCTCTTGGGCCACGCCAACCTGGGCCAACTTTAACGCCTCAGTTTCAGATATACACGCCACCCCACGTTCTGTTTCTGGTACATCCTCAGTGGTGACCCCATCACTGGCGGTTGTCACTCGCTGAGTCTTCGATCCCAAATCAATTTTCATGATTGTAAGATCATCTTCTTGACCTCGTTTCACTATTATCGTATCTGGTTCTACTGATCCCGATACAACCGTCTGCAAATAAATTGAATTGTCTATTAGTATACGCAATATGAAATAGTAGAACATTAATGTTGCACCAATCTTCGATCGTGACACTTTATCAATTTTAACACAGTAGCTATCAATTTAAAAGAGCTTGTAGAGCAAAAATTTAGACTAACGCCACTATTAGCGTATCCTCGGTTATCGAAATAACAATCACGACAGAAAGTAGTAATCTTCCGTCAAAGGAAGATCAGCGCACAAATGACCGAATAGAGGGTCGAGGAATGAGGATTTTGTGGTTTTATAAACAATTTTTCACGTAATTTGATCGTAAGTAGGAAATTATACACAATATGATATAATGGCGTTACGTCCCTGATGATTAGAGACAAAAGTATGATCAAATATGTAGCTAATCTCTTTATCTACTAAAATCAATTTTTATTTTTACTATTATTAACATTATTTCAGTAATTAAAAAAAAATAATGACCCAAATATTGTTCCAAAATGCCATAACCGGTTAACTATGTACCTCGCCGAGACCGTAGTTGGCGGTGATGAGGAGACGCGAGGCGTCGCCGCGGTCAGGGTGGCGCGTGAACATGACGCCGGCAGCGCGCGCCACTACCAGCGCCTGCACCACCACGCCGCCGCCGCACACGCACTGCTGCCCGTTCTGCCTGCGGCCGCACAAGAGGCTTGTTAGTTTCACGCTCCCACATGCACGCCATTACGACACAGAACTCCACGTACCTGCGGTAGTAGGCACTGGTAAAGGCGAACATAGAGGCCCAGCACTGCTGCACCGCACGCACTACCTGCTCATCGCTCACGCAACCCAAGATCGTCTCGTTCTGGCCGGCCGCCGACAGCGTCTCGCTGTCTTCACCCACCGCTGTTATAATTTAAATTAGTTACAAAAAATATTTGGATACTTCTAAATTATTTAGATTTCTTTTGTACATATTTTTTTAATTCCAGGACTACAATTTAACAGATCAAATAGTATATATGGCAGCACCTGAAGATCTGACTGCAAATCGTTGTTCCAAATTTTGTTGCGTAGCCGCATTTCTCAGCTCTTTAAGGTGAACGAGTATTTCGTTTCTTACGTCTTCTATTATTTCAGTTTTGACAAATAGTTCGACGGCCCTTAAATATAAAATATCGATCATTTGAAATATTTCCAAAAAAGGAAAATCAGTCTAAATTTCATATAATTATGTAAACGGAAAATAATTTAAAAATATTTTTATTTCAAAAGTCTATATGCAAAATTGTCAAAAAATGTTTTCCAAAATCGCAGTGATTTCTCCAACTTGTAAGTTGATAGCCCACAGACATTACACTTTTTGTAAATTGTAACTATAACAGAAACTTATGTTCTTTTTTCCAAAATTAGCATTTCACTTCAAAAATTTCTTTAATATTAGAACATAGAATAATAGATATAAAGGATTGATACTAGTAAACTGAATATTAAAGATTGCATACAATTACCAACATACTTCGAGCATTTATCTTTAAAATTTGTTTCGTCGTAGTCTTCATTAGCGGCCTCGATCTCTCGAATAGCCGCCAGTAGTGCCGGATTAGCTTCGAGCTGTTTCTCCAAAGCTCGTACAGTCAAACAAAATCCTGGTGGCACTTTGTAGCCCTGAAAGTGAAGCATATGCTTTGTAGACCCAAAAATTTAAGTAGTTAGAATCATAAATGTAATATAACGGACTTACGTAATATAAGATATAAAAGTGTATTTTAATGGATGAAGATGGAGTGATGCAGCCGCCTATGCTAATGATGATAAGGATGAAATCATGCCAGTTAGTCTATCGTATCGAATTCGTTAATAATTAACCACGATAGTTTCCATAAGATTATTACATTGGAAGTTAACTTATTAACATAGCAGTATAGTAAATAGAAACCAGAGTCTTCATTACTAAGAATCTCTCTTAAGTTAAAATGATTATTTAATAAAAATTTCCACCTCAACATCCTGCACAGAAGCAAGTAACGCCAGCGAAGCACCCTTGCCGCCGACATAGTCGGGACAGGCGGCTGCACGCGCCTCGAATGGTAGGCAGTAACCCACCGAGCCAGCATCGCTCGCGCTGAGCCACCTGAGGGCGCGCGGCGGGGACACACGCACTGCGGGCTCCGTTATTACTGTAATAATACTACATTATTGAACAAGATATTATTTTACAAGTGTCCTATTTTATGTTACATTAAATAACAAATTTTGTTTCCTTTTGAATAAACATTTTAGATAAAGGGTAATTTAAATTGCTAGTACAAATTCGATTCAAAGGACCAATGTTTGGAGTATACCGAAACTAAAAAGCACATAAAGTATGATAAATTGTGCTTACTAATAAAGATTGGTTGCCTACGCGGTCATTCGGTAAAGTGATTGTTTAATGAACAAACCCAGTAAATAATAAAGATGGAAATGGATTATTAGTAACGAGGTCGAACAGTCCCATTGCTAGCAATATACCTTACAGGATGATCACCACGTGATTCTCCCTGGAAACCATCGTGACTAATTCTTGGTGAATTCTTCAGGATCAGCTAACTGACCTGCATTCATCCTCATCTATCGTCTCTCTCTGGTGCCCCGTCAACTAATATCTACTAATAACACGAGCTACTAAAGACGAGATTATCAATATATTTAAGCCCATTGAAACAAAACCTAAACTGACACTGTGATGGCGGAAGATAAACAAATATTTATTTTAATGTATAAAAATCCCATATCACAATATTCGCTCACGCTAATATTTTAATGATTTTAATGTTTAATTTTGTAACTGTACCCGGTAAATAGTGATAGGGGGCAAAACAGCATTTTGCAGATCAGATAGTCATATTATAGTTCTAAATTAATGATCCATATACATTAAAGCACTAATACATAGAACTATAGGCTTTTGTCTGTAAACATTTACCTGAAGGTTCATAGCCAAGTTCAAGTATGCCAGAGCCGGGCGACTCGTCAATACTGACCACCAAAGTACGATACTCCAGCTCTTGCTGGTACGGGACTCCGCTTAGCAGTTTACCGCCATCGAAGTTAATGCGAAGCACCATGCAAATGGTGCGCCATTTAGCTGAAATAAACACAAAATAGTAAACACTGTATAAATTTATCTAGATATATTAAAAATGTAATATTATAAAATAGAAAACGTTTTAAAATTATAAAATTAAAATCTACTTAAGCATTTGAAAATTAATGAAATATTTTATTTGAAATGGCTACAATCTAGTCGATACAAAAATTATGTCCAAAATGTAATATTTATACAGTACTATTAAATTTATATATAATAAAGTGTACATGAATGCTCTATTGTGTGTCGGAGTGTTCCTTGACTTGACAAAGGCATTTGACACCGTGTCAATTCCTATACTCTTGCGAAAATTGGAAGGTTTGGGAATTAGAGGCAAACCACTTTTGTGGTTTAATTCATACCTAACGAATAGAAAGCAGTGTATTAAAGTGCATGATCACACTAGTCATTTTGAGAATACTTGCTTTGGTGTACCACAGGGTAGTATCTTGGGTCCTACGCTCTTTTTTTGTTATATTAATGACTTACTATTAACCCCATTAATCAACGCAAAATTTACTTGTTATGCTGATGACACAGCTATTATATTCCATGGTAATAATTGGAACGAATGTTATTTGAACGTTGAGAGAGGTTTGGTTTTAGTTGCTACATGGTTAAACAAAAATTTACTGACAATAAATACTTTAAAAACGAAATATGTATGCTTTTATAAAACTAAAGCTTCAAGGCCGTTCTCCGTTCCAGATATCAAGATACACATGTGTATGGCTATTACTCCTAGTGTTACAAATCCGATATACCATTCTAACACGTGCTCCTGTGACACTATTAAGAACTCTCCAACTGTAAAGTATCTAGGGATGGTATTAGATGAGAGACTTACTTTCAAGCAACACATTGACTATATGTCTGCCAGAGTAAGAAAACTTATTCCCACCATGAGAATCCTCAGAGACGTGATGGATCCATCCTTACTCCGAAATGTTTATGTCGCGCTGTGTCAGTCAGTGCTTACTTATTGCATCCGAGTTTGGGGATCTACTGCTAAGATCATATTGCTGAAACTAGAAAGAGCTCAGCGTTCTATATTAAAGGTCATGTTCAAAAAGCCTTTTAGATATTCAACAGCTTCTTTATTTAATAAAGGTCTTAATGCGTTAAGCATATATTGAATAAAAGGATTCAAACAAGCGTTTTTATCCCTACACCTACTACTAAAAACAGACGCTTCTCTTCTTGCATGATCCCATTCATATATAATAAATTTTGCAAAATTTACAATCTAAAGAACTGTACCCTAAAAGAAACAAAATCAAAAGTAAGCGAACATCTGAAATCTATGAATTATGACGATACTGAAAATATGCTCTTGTTAATCATATAAATGAAAATACTGGTCACATACATACAAAAACACACACACACACACACAAACACACACACAGAGAGACACACACCACACACACACGCATGCACACACACTCATTCATAATACTTATTTATACATGTGTATTGGTGGTGAGAGAAAGAAAAATAAATAAATAAAATAATTGTATTATACAGATTAGTTACACAATTGTGATACTGCTAAAAAGCCTATGTTTAATATCTATATGCATGTATATATATAATACAGGACAGGCTCAGCCTAGTGTAGGAGGCAATGATAAATTCTGTGCTAATACAAACATACTTTGTTAAATAAATAAATAAAAATAAAAAAAAAAAAAATAAATATTAAGAAATAACATACTTAGTAAAATTAGGTCAGGTACAGATTTTCCATTCAATTTGACTGAATTATATTTCAATTTAATCGATCAGATGAATTGAATAAAGTTGATTGAAGACCGTAATAAATAGCGTTTAACTTACTGCTCACATTTATCGTGTAAACCTTCGGTATCCCGGCGATAGTCTCAGCAAAGTCTTGCAGTACAAAGTCTGTGTCGATTATACTCTCCACTTTGTAATTTGGGTATCTGACGTGTCCTGATATGCATCTGCAAACATAAATTAACAAATTACCTGCACTAAAATATTATTTAATTGTGTAATTATATAAATTGTATAAAGATATTTGGATATTTAATATTTTGGATATATATATATATATATATATATATATATATATATATATATATATATATATATATATATATATCACCACTGCTGAATGTTTAACACACAGATTAACTAGGTATGTCCTTGATTAAAACAAAGGTTACTTTTATCCTAATTGTCATGGTTAATGCCACTGATTACAGCTGATATTTAATAAAAAGAAGTTAAAAATGTAACATAAAAATAATACATACTGTGTCAAGATATTTCTATACGAAAGTCCACGAAGATGCACCAAAGTACCATCCATAGATGACGCCGTGACAGTGACAGATCGCCTCCGACCTTCGTACCCGTTGGGCGCCCAACTTCTCTCTCTGACTCCCCGCAGGCGGAGATACTCGTCCTTCTGCAGGATGCCTTGCTGATCGAAGGATTGAAAGCGGCCTTGTACAACACCATCTTGCATCCAACCGCCCTCCTCCCACGTTCCTCTACATAAGTGTCATTAATTATTAATCAATACAAAATACTTCTTAATCTATATATATATAAAGAGAAAAGTCCTGACTGTCTGACTCATCAACGCATAGTCGAAACTGTGAAAGTTACAATTACCAAATTTTGACAGTAGGTTTCTTTTATGCCCTACACCAGTAATAAGAAAGGACATTTTTTTAATTCAACTCCTAAAAGTTTAAATATAAGGGTGAAATTTAAAATTAGTTGTTTTCAATCGATAAATAATTAATATTTACCATAAATACTCTGAAATAAAAATAATGGAAATTTCAGCATTTTCAAAATTCAATCCCAAAGTATGTTAAAAAAAGATGAAGTAAAGTGAAATGTCCTGACTCATCATTGCACAGCCGAAACTATTTAAGATAGAAATATCTAATTTAGACAGTAGATTCCTTTTATACCCTACACAAGTAATAAGAAAGGAATTTAAGAAATTCGGGCCATAAAGGTGTACAAATAAGGGGAAAGTTGAGAAAGTATATATTTTTATTTTAAATCTGTTGTACATTTTGTCTTGATACGGTATCTAGAAGTCTTTTTCACTGGTTTTCCTACTTCTGAAATCGTATAACATAACAGTAAATAACTGGTAAAAAATAAACTTAAGATGTAAATGCTTAATGTTTAAAGCATTTGAACTGGACTGTCGTCCACAACAGGAATTTTATGATGAGGAACAAGAAGGCTTCTGCTTAAAAACAAAACGAAAGAATAATAAGTACATTAATTTTTTTCCTTAGTCTAGTTATATATAATAAATACAAGTATATAAAACAAATTAAATAAACGTAAGAAACGTACAATAAATATGGCCATTTGCTATCTCGCCACTGCTCCTGGGCCAAACATTCCGCTGCAAGTTCAGTGCTCCAGTCCTCAGGGTGTCGCAATACGTTTGTGGCAGATCTCCATCTGAAACAAATCAATATTCACTGAGATCTACGAGTATTAATATATTTAAACACGTTTCGTAATCATGCGTTGGACGAACTTAGTAAAATTCTTGCAATTTTATACCTACGAACATTAAATTAGTAGATATGCGTGCGTCTAATAGCGATAAATTAATAAAAAATTTGATAAATCGGCATATAATTCACTCAAAATGAAATAAACGGTAGATAAGAACACAAACACCTTGTTGCTTAGGATGATAATCTGGTTTATCATAACATCGCCAGACGAACACTTGAGAACGAAATCAGTATTATTCGTTTCAATGTTTTGAATGGCCTTATGAAAAATTAAACCTGATATGATAATATGGAAGATTGAACTTTATTTGGGCACACAAACATTCACTTACATTAAGGACGTTACGTTACGTTAAGGAGATGACCACAATACAAGTAAAGCTATGTTTATGAAAGTTTATCATAACTCTACAATAGGGAAGGAAATATCCCTTTCCTTGTTTTTATGAAGTCACTATATGCGCAATTAGAATTAATGAGGAAGAGACTGAAGTTTCTCCACAAATAAAATTAACAATATCAACCTAACAGGTTTTAACTGCTATAGTTAGATTACATGTATAGAAAATATATACTTACCTATCTAGATCTTAAAAAAAATAACAAAAAACCAGGTAAATGACTCGTAAAGATGTAAGCGAGGAATCTTACACTGTTAGTATAAAATGATCATAGATATGACGGTAGATACAAATACAAGAAGAATCCATACACTACATCCCTTAATGGGTTGCAAAAATTAATTAAAGGTTTGTATAATAAGGAGGCTACGCTGATGCGTATTCCTGCATGTAAATTATATGCAGTTTGTTAAATTAAATGAGACCTTGATTGACACTTTTTCTTCTCGTCTATATTTAGTAGAGCAGACTAATTAGAATTTATATGCCTATATATCTATATGTAGTGCCAAATGTATCAATGTTTTGTGTAATTATTGTCGATGGGTACCTACCACCATCTTAACTACTTCTACCTTGAAACGACAAATAAGCACGTTGCTATTTTGAATTGAAGGGCAAAGCAGAAAATCACTGTCATCTTAACCCTTAACAGTGTCAAGGAAATAACATTTTTGTGATATTTATGCATATATATGTATATGTTGAACGGTCAAGCGGATTTCCATACTCAAAAATAGATAATAAAAAATAGTCTACGTACTTACATAAAATTAAAGTTAACATGATGTGTTATGCCGTCTTCGACTGAAGTCAAGAGTCCGTTGAATATAATCCTCAGCCGTGTCTCAGGCTCCAGGATCTGGATCTTCAGTCCACCTGCGCTCCAAGCACCTTCAGTGTCCTCCCAGTGACATGTTATAGTGTCTGGATGTCCTATAACAAGCGATTGAGTCCTACAGTGCTGCCTTTTTGGCCTTAAATGTTGTTACGCCACAGATAAATAAATGCATTAAAGATAAAAAATCAGTATTCTCTCCTCATAGTAAGTATTAACATAATAAATAAAAAATATCAAAATTTTGGCTTCCTTTAGAATTAAACTTACAATCTTTTGAGGATACAGGCGAATCAATATTATTCATTGAATTAGTAATAGTACGCACGATTCTTCCTTCAAAAGGTTAAACAATGGATCTTGTTCATACCTAACACAAATTTAAACATATTACTTACTGTAATTGACAAAACATACTTGGTAATCTATAACTGGATCCATCTGTTAACTTGACGTACACCGTCACTTCTGCGGTGGGTCGCCTGCCGCACAGTTTGCGTATTCCCAGCAGCACGGCAGCGCCATCCGTGCTGGTGGCGCGCACGTCGATAGAGTCCCATCCGTCGTGCAAGTCAGCGCGAGGCAGTTCACTTGTAGGCACAAGCACGCACTGGGCCTTCCAGCGACCCACGGCATAGTACCGTGATAGCCACCGTTTAAGTGGATAGTTCCATCCTAAAATAAACAACGGAGTTAAATATTTTTGTAACTTTGTTTATAGTTAAATATTGTTAGTACCTATTAACTCGTATATATTATGTTAAGTCAGGGGTTCCCAAACTTTTTCACTACGTATAAAACAATATTAAATCTGTAATTGCGTGCACTTACAGGTTTAATATTGTGTCTCGGCGCTCAGTGGTCATTAGTACTCGAAAGAAGGTACAAAGATACTACGTAGATGGGCAAAAATAAAATATTCGCAATATGAAGCTAAGTTTTCATAACTTTTAATAAATTAAATAGATTTTTCTGAACGCCGTAATCTTCTCTAATAACTTCAAATTGTGCAGAGACAGATTCAAATTGTTTAGTTTTCAGTGGGCAATGTTTATTTTGTAACGGCGAATTCCATTTCTTAAACAAGAGTGTCTCACGGCGTCCTCCTATACTTTTGTACACTTTGAGAGCCCCTAATTTAGTGTATTATCGCAGTTCTAATAATGCTGTGGTATTATAATAATAAACAATACCGACTGTAGTATCTGTACAGTTCGATACACAGTACCAATTAGTTAGAATTTATTTCTACCGATTAGTTAAGATTTTTTTATGCAACTTAGAATGGCTGACGGTCCACTTGATGGAAAGTGGTAACCGTCGCCTATAGATGGTGCAGATGAGCAATACCATGGACATTACAGAGTATACTGTTTCGCCCATCATACTTCCATGCGTTTCCATTTCTGAGGACTAAGGTGTTATTCCTTTGTACTTTGACTTTTGTGCAAAGTCTCCCGCTAGTTAGAGTTTACTCAACATTTAATTCCATGTTCAATTTGTGCCGACCGAAGAAACTTTTTTTGCGGAAACTTTCTGCAGAACTTTTCTTACGAACCAAAATCTGTGCAATGTGCATAACGCTAAATTCGCTTTCTTGTAGAACAAAATGTATATATATAAAAACCAACTAAAAACAAATATTAACAAAAAATAATCCCAAACTAAGAAAAGCTGGTGGGAGGGATCTTATTGGTAATGAAATAGTAATGAAAGTTGGTTTCTCTTGTTAGCAATATACTCTTTCAGATCGACCTACATGCGCCTTCCTATCTGAAAACCATCCTGGTGAATTTCTGTCTTTATTGCCATTTTTACTTATCATCAAAAATATTACTCACTGGTACCCCGCTAACATATACCGAGAGTGCAGTCAGGGTCATCATTCCATTTTCGTCATTTAAAAAAAATTAAACAAAGCTCCTACTATGAGTATAAACAACTAATATAGGCATATTAAATGGTTTTTATATATCACATGGGGGAAAAGGGATTGTTAGTAATGTGGAGCAAGCCCTGTTAAGGTGACTTCCGTGCGGTTCCCCCTAGAAACCACTGTGATTAATACTTGTTGCATTCGTCACGATGAACTAATTGAGTCGCTTTCATGCTCATCTAACATCCCTCACTGGTGCCTCGTCAGCGTATACCGATAGCGCAGACGGGGTTACCATTCCATTATCATACAAAAAATAAGAACCATTAGCACATGTATTGTGCGAAATTTTTTACACCACCAATCTTCTTAATTAATAGATCGTATCTTTCACCTTACTCTTTAATGGTCGGCAGCAGCGTGCCTCTTAAAACATCACTAAAGCCTAACGCATACCAATTACTGGTGAGACCTATGTCCAATTGTGGACAGTTAATGACTGAATAAATAAAAATAAATCTTTCACCTTTGATCTTACATATTATACCGAATTATCGTAGGTAGATAGATATTCCTGTTAATATATCGGTAACATATTGACATTATAGAATTTAGTAGATAAAAGATTTATATAAATAATTTAAACTAAACATTATTTCGTATGATTCTAAGTTATTAACTAAGGATATACTAACCAGCCTGAGTGTAATTTAATTTATTATGAGCTTGTCGTTTCTTAAAGAATATCAGATACACCACCAATACCGACGTTGTCAATCCAGCTTGCAAAAATATATCAAAGAGCTCCATATTTTGTAAATAACACTATAATAAAACTAAATCAAACACAAAGTCATAAGATAGTTTGTACACATATATCTGTCAACGAACGTAACTGACCGCGGAGTGCGCGACCGGCGTCGGTCCCCGAATGATTGTCGCGCGAAACTGTGTGATCCATCTGAATCGTAGTAATTAGGTTGATACCTCGGATCAACTGGTAATCAATGGTCTTGACACATTAGTTGCGAGTATTACGCTTGATAAGGAGTACCTACCCACTATAACTATTTATTTATTTAACACTATTGCATCAATATTACAAAACCTGTTGAAGGATTTTTGATAAGCACAGTGTAGTACAAAAGACTGTCTTGTTGCTAAGCAATCTCTTCTGAACAACCTTTGGACAGAAGGGATTAAAGAATGAATGAATTAAAATAAAAACAATCAATAACGATAAAAATAAGTCTAGCTCATCGGTACAGTACCTAACTGGGAATGGAACTGGCATACCTACTGAGGGCTGTGTTGTCACACAATAGATTTAAGTAAGTAACTGTTTTCTTTCAGAAAATTTCTTAAAGACCTCTTTCGATTCCTCCACATATTAATGAAACAAACTTGGCACATTGCTCAGCAAATTTGAATGAAATTTAGTACATTGGTAGGTTATATCCTAATTCAACCTATTAAATATTTTATATACCGATTCTTGTGAGTAAAACGCTTGATTGAGTTTATACTATCGCCTGACAAGACAATGCATACAGTCATGTGAAATGTCACGCAGCTAGGTAGGTACTACCTTACTACCGAACACAGGGGGAAAGGGATTGTTAGTAATGGAGATTAAGAATCCCATTGCTAACAATATATCGAACCAGGTCGACCTCCTCGCGGTTCCCCTTGGAAACTATCATGGTTAATTCCTGATGAATTCATCATGATGGGCTAACTGGCCCGTTTTCATTCACATCAATCACCCTTCACTGGTGCTCCGCCAGCGTATCCCGTTAGCGCAGGCGGGGTTGCCATTCCCCACCCATTTCACCCATCAAAAAAAAACTACCGAACACAAACTGAATGTATAGTTTGAATGGAAATCTTAACGAATTAATACTATTCATTGGTTTTTGAACCATGTTTACCGAATAAATAACATGTTTATCGTATTTTAATCATGTTGCGATAAGATTATTAGTTACGACTTGCCAAATGTTATTCTCATATTAATTTAACATCAATTGATAAATAACTAAATATATATTCATTTCTTGTGAAGGAACGCTAAAATCAAATAAAGAAGACGTCCCTTAATAGTAACATAACAAACTATTAATTTTTTTTAATGGGTGAAGATGGACCCTCGCCTGCGCTATCGATATACGCTGCCGGGGTATCAGTGAAGGATGACAGGTGAGGATGAAGGCAGGTCAGTTGGCCCATAGTGACCAATTGAACAACAATTAATCACTATGGATTCCAGGGGGAACCGCGTGGAAGTCGACCTAATAGGATGTATTGCTAGCAAAGGAGCTGTTAAATCTCATTACTAACAATCACTTTTCCCCCTATAAATGACGTTTATTAACTAAACATTAGGTACTTGTTTTTACCTAATGCGTATGTATTTATCTATATACCGTATGTTTATCTACCTACATGCATCCTTGTGTCGCGAGGATGAGGTTATAAGAGAATAAAACTATAGAGAAACATATTGAAGCTTTATTTATATTTATTAATTATATCGGTCAGTACTCTAATTGCCAGCTAAATAACTGATACTGAAAAAGTAGCCACAGCACGGTTGCTTCTTCTATAGATATTTTCATTCAGATTCTTATTTCTTATCAAGCTCTAAAACTACAAACAGCTGTTTCCATGCCTCAGTGGACAACTTTGAGCGTTCATATTTTTTTTTTAATAAATGCAACTTAAGTAACATACAAACTGTCCCTACAAGTGGGTCAGTTTATGAGTAATAATGGAATGGTAACCCCACCTGCGCTATCGGTATACACTGGCGGGGCACCAATGAGAGATGATAGGTGAGATGAAGCAGTTAGCCCATCGTGACGAATTCAATAATAATTGTTCACGATGATTTCCAGGGGGAACCACGTGAAGGTCGACCTAATAAGGTGTATTGCTAGCAATGAGACCCCATTACTAACAATCCCTTTCCCCCCAGTAGGTCAGTTTGTTAACATGGTAACAGTCGCCTATAAACATTATCAGCACCATGACATCACAGAATACACTAAACTTGGGGTCCTTGATAATTTATACTGTAAATAATGTCACTATAACGAAGTAGTAGTGTTTACATATTAATGCATACGACTGTATTTGTATTGTGTACTGTGGGGTTACTCCAAACACGATGAAAATATAAACAAAATTATAATTTCCATTTTTATCCAATTATGACAAAATAATTTTGAGTATTGAAATATTGCATTAATAGTCTCTTATAGACCAACTATAAACTATTCATCATTAGCCTCATACAAATTCTTAATTTAAGTCGAATCTACCAATCAAAAGCATAGGCATCTACAGTACTATCTCACACTTAATGAAAACAACTTTTGACACAACCTTATTACAAAGTTACAGGGGCATATATTTTAAATTTCTTTTATACAAAACACATTTAATATAAAACAGAAAATGTTTAATTTCAGAAATAAAAATATATAAAATAATGAAATAATTACGTCATCCAATTCGGGTAATTCATCATTTATCATAATATTAAAATCCTTGAGGGATTTAATGATTAAGGATTAAACAATTTCATTAAAAATAAAGTAAAATTCTACATCAGTACTTTTTTTACTAATGACCTTTTTAAATTAGAGACACCATACTTTTGTTTCACGCTAAAAACTGCAGTGATATTTCAATTTTTATTAATTCATTTATACTTTTAAGTTTATAATGTTCAAATAAATTTTCCACTTCAATCAAACTGACGATTCCCCAAGATTATGAAAAGAACTATCTGTAAATATTTATTATTTATAAAGTTATAAATAATGAAAAATGTAATTTCATTTAATTGGATGTATGGTAGCTCTAATTTTAAAGAATAAATTAGCCTGTGACCATTTTCTATAATATCGTATAAATCGAATTCACTTTTAGATTTTTTTTTTACTTCTATAACTCTTGTATAATTTAACCTACATTTGCCTCAACACTGCCTACAAAATATGGTAGCAGTCATTGTTAATTTACAAAATACCTAGACAAAACACCACAATAATTTACTAAAGCCCATCAAATTTGTGCGCAGGAGTATCTAATAAATGCGCGGCAAATGCGAGCAGTAACCTATGAGATTATGAGGTAGGGATAGTACAGTTGGGAATGAAATGTCGCGCAGACCTGTCGTCGTCAGCAGGCCGCGGACGTACACATTGTTAGAACTTCATTGATGATTTGTCAGGCCATACAACCTTTTTGTATACAGGACGCAGACAATGAAAAAATTGACAAAACAACCCGAAACTCAGCAGTAGCAGCCATAAATCTGAGAATTCTAAAGGCGTCAAAATAAAAATAAATCTTATTACAAGTCGACCAATGATGTCTTTTAGGAAAAGTTGTATATAATCACGAATACTATCACTAGATTTCGCATTGGTACGACTACACCTCGAATAAATACAATAAATCGTAAGCCCTAATCATATTACAGGATAGGGAAGATATTTGTTACATGTTGTGCAAACATTTCCCCCTTCCATAGTCAGTTACTTAAAATAAATAAATTTAATTGAGCTGAAAATAAATAGTTAAATACAGAAAGTACTCATACTATCAACATTTTCCTACAATGGAAAATTTTAGATTATATAGTTAATTTACTAATGGAATTTCATAGGTCAAATCGAATAGTAGAAACTAACATATAGACATCCCTAAGACAAATAGAAATTCCAAAATAATGAAACATATTTAAAAGAACATACTTTAAACTGAACAATTATAGCTAAACATCCAAACACATAAAATAAGTCAATAAATAACAATAAAAAAAAACTTACATTCGATCGATAACATTAAATAATTTACATTTAAATATTTCATACAGGCAATGTGACAGACTTAAAATATCATCATATTATTATAACATGTTTGCTTGCATGCTTAGACAACATCTAATTAGGAATAAATTATAAGGCATAAAACCTCATGGATTTGAGGCCACTGAAACAATAGACTGTTCATCTTTGTAGTCAATTGCACAAATAAAACTAATAAATTAATAGCAGAGTTTAAACTACTGGGGCTTATATTGCAAGAGAAATAAAACTAACATTGTTTTGCAATAGGCCACATTTAAAGTACATTTGTATGTCACTATAAAAGTATTATATTTAAAATATATAATAATTTAGATAATAATAATTTACGGTTTGAAGCCAGAGATATGAGTCTATATAGTTGATAATATATATCTAAAGTCTCACTGGACAATTGGTTTATTACGAAGAGTAGTTTGGGGCGCAATACTGAAAATTCTAGTATGGAGATGTACGAAAACATTTACAGAGACGACGATGACGACATTTCACAGCGATGTGTAAGACTACTGCGCACGTAACGATTCAATTCAATTGAATTTATTTATTGCATTTTTTTTACAACACGGGGCAAACGAGCATGCGGCTCACCTGATGGTAAGTGACTATCGCCGCCCATGATCACCCACAACACCAGCGGCATTGCAGGTGTGCTGCCGGCCTTTTAAAAAGGAATATACTCTTTTCTTGAAGGTTATGTTGTCGTATCGGTTCGGAAATACTGCTGCTGGAAGTTGATTCCAAAGAATGGTTGTGCGTGGAAGAAAGTGCCTTGAAAAACGCACGGTGGAAGACCGCCACTCGTCCAGATGATTGGGATGAAACTTTAGTTTGTGACGGGTTGCATTCTACAATATTATTATAAAAGATGTTAGTAATTGTAGACCCTGTCGGGCACAGCAATTAGAAGCGAGAAGGGCGTCGATCCTTAAATTTTCATAAAGATTTTAATAATTAAATAATTCAATTTCGATTTCATCAATGTAATGAAATTCTAATTAAAATCCAAGTAAATTTAATGATGGTAACGATTTTTTTTTGTTTCCATGTTTTATTTTAATTTAATGCAATTTAATGTAGTTGTTTATATTTTTATATCATTTTATTAATATACTTATCAATACGACGTAGATGACTCATAACAAACAGCGCGAATCAGCAGAATGAGTTACGTATCACCTACCGCCTCTATACAAATAGCTACGATCCGAAAATGTACCGTCCTGCGTAACGCTCAGCCGCTCTATAACCGAGACCTAGGAAATTGTACCGCATTAAATTCCACTATTTTCTTGTTTACAATTCACAAATACAACCTATGTGTAAAACAAAAAAATTGTCATGTTTTTTGGTATTCATTCAATCTCATAAATGGAATTTTTCAGCGTTAAACTCTAAGACAATAATAATCCGTTATAAAAGCGTTATCGTATCGTATATTGGGAATAATATATTTTTAAATGCACATGACTTTAGAATATTATTGTAATATGACGCTACTTATTACTACACGCTAACTTACACAGTAGTAATATCACGTAAATAGTCAAGAGATCACAGTTTAGAGCTGCCATCTATTCGGGTTTATAGGATGCGTAAAAATAATGAGCAAGAAGACAATAAGGCCAAGGCCAAGAGCAAACAATACAAGGTTAGGGTTGAATCGAAACATAAGTGAAACAGGACAAGTTTTCTCTTTCAAGATAGTTTTTTTTTTTTAATTTTTTATTTATTGAAAATATTTGTATTATTGATTAGAAGATGTTGTGTTATCAGTACGTTGTTTAAAAAATAAGAATGTTCATATCAATGCTTATCGAAGTATCATAATTATCTGTCAATTCTCAAAAACAACTTCAATATTTCCAATTGACATTTTAAAAGTGCTCTGATAGCGGTATAATAACTGTTATAAAAATGTACTTTATTAAAAGCCCCATAATATATCGTTGAGGAAACACAATTGAATTTTATTGGCACTATTGAAACGTATTAAAACGATCATAGTAGTGGGCATATATAACGAAAGTAAAATTTAAGATGAACTGCAGTTCTTTGACAGAAGATCCATGAAATAGTGAAACCACTTTCCATCAGGTGGGCTGTCAGCTTGTTTGACATTCTAAGTTGTATAAAAAAAAAAGATGCACCGTGAGAATTTTTTATATAGATAAAGATAGAAAACATAAAAAATTTTAAAGCTATGACATTGAAAAATATTTCATGCTTCCTTGTGTATAATTGACATCAATAATAGAATTAATAATTGTTTTTAAATTAAGACTTTTAATATAATATTTTTTTTTAACTCGTCATAATGATACCTGACAGTTGGCAGCTCTACCGCAGCTAATTTACAAATATTCCATAGACAATGTAATTTTATTATCTATTCGTAAATATCTTTAAAGGCGCTCAATATACATAAAAAACAATAAACAATGTCAATCTTAAACAAATACACCTACATATTTTTTTTTATATAATAGTCCTTAATGTCTTTTACAAATAATTTAATTTGTTTATCAAAATAGCATTGGCGTTCGTTTATTAATATATCACGCAGCCTCTATGCGTTTCAACAATATTATAAATAGTAGTAATAGATTAATCATAAATAGAATACCAATCTGAAACCTAGTGATGGTAGATATTATAAAATTAAACAATTTCCCAGAATAAAAAACATAATCGAAATAGGAAAATATTTTTTGAATTTTTGTATAAAATTTATATAAAATTATTTTTGTATAAATTTTAAATGTTTCTTAGAAAAATTGTTTCAGTTTAAAGAATACTGAGTTTCAGAATGGTATATCTTTTACGGCTAACCCTGTATTGTGATTAACAATCAATTAAGCAATGTTTAACATTCTGAATACCTGTGTATATTCATATATCGAAATTTAAAACAATAGAATTTCGTTAAACAATGTTTAACCAAAATACTTAATTACTTCACATCGATTTATTCCGCTTTCTCTTTCAATGGTTCCAATTCTTCTGGACTTGCATCCATACTAGAGGCGGTGTCTGTACGCGACTTATCGACGGGATATAACCTGAAAGAAGATGGTAAAAATTAACACAATGTGTTCTTATATACTGTGTAAGGGGATATATTTGGTTAAACCAAGTATACCCTATAGGGGGGGAAAGGGATTGTTAGCAATGGAGTTTGACAGCCCCATTGCTAGCAACATGCCTTATTAGGTCGACCTCCAGGTGGTTCCCCCTGGAAACAATCGTGAATAATTCTTGTTGAATTCGTCACGATGGGCTACCTGACCTACTTCATCCTCATCTATCATCCTTCAATGGTGCCCCGCCGGTGTATACCGATAGCGCGGGTGGGGTTACCTTTCCATTATCATCCATTATGAAAAAAAAGTATACCCTATAAGAGGAGGGGAGAAGGAATTGCTAGTAATGGGAAATAACAACTCCGCTGCTAGTAATAGTAATAGTATACTCTACCAGGCCGACTCCTACGTGGTTCTCACTGGAAACAATCGTGGTTAAATGTTGTTCAATTGATCACAATGGACCAACTTACCAACTTCTAGTCTCACCTATGAACCTTCATTAGTGTTCCGCTACCGCATACCGATAGCGCAGTCAGAGTTACCATTCCTTTTTCATCCATTAAACAAACGTAGTTAAGTAGCAAAAGAATTTGTTTGTTAGCTCTTGGTGACTTAACCTCTCAACCAAGTCATAAAATTTGGCATCTTGGGATAAAATAAACTAAGGTTACTCTTTGTCCAGATCAATCAATCACACGAATGAAATTTCGAATTAAAATTGTAAATTACAAATAAATAATAGTGTTGCAGGCATCCTGTATACTTGTTTGCTACCTTCGTGGTATAAAATAAATGTCTTCTGTGAGGATGATTCAGTTTGAATAAAAATAGATAATAAAAAATGGTGCATAAATATACTCTAAAGTGGGAACGCCCCCTCCCCCTTTAAATACATCTGTGTGAATATATGTTACTATACTAAATTAATAAATATAAATACGACATCTATTAACAACCAATATAGTAAACTAATATATCTTTTAGAGATAGTAATACCCTTCCTTGAAATGTTTCACAGTATTTTGTACTAAAATATAAACGAGAAACGAATTTTTTTTTTTTACTATATTTAATACAAATGCAAAATTCTTACCATCTTTGGTACAAATAAACGAGAAAGACCAAGTCGTCTCTGAAGCAGGCGACGCGATGCGCAGTCGGCATGGTTATAATAAAAGCGAATACATCATCGATGAACGTGTTGAACGCTTTATACATGAACGCCCGCCACGGCAGCGCCGCCACCGATCGCAAGCGGTAATTCACGAACAATTGAGGCAGCATGAATAAGAACCCGAATGCGTACACGCCATTCACGATGCTATGAAGAGCCCAGGAGTACCAACTGCAAAACGAAAATAAATACTCAAATAGGTCTTGGTTGCACAGCGTCATCTACTCCCATACTAAGTAGAGCATATACTACGGATACTACTTCTACTACCTGTTAAAAATATTGATTTTTGTAAATATAAAATAATATATACTATACAGAAAAAAAAAACAATAAATTAAGAAAACTGTACCAATATATACCTGTCAACTTCATGTACAATGTATGTTTTTTGTGAAAGGTTATAAGAATAGTAGGAAAGTTATATGCCTGTTCATATTATTGCAACTCCATTTCATTATTTGGTCATATATTCTTATAACATAAATAACGACTGACTTCTTACTTTGATATATTTTTTTTAACTATAGACAAGTTACTACTTTCCATTTCTATAACCTAACAGGTATTTTGCCATTTTCAAATCTACAAAAACATCATAGCTACCTCTTATGTGGCTCATAAACCAGCGAATAGAGTGCACCAAGGATGCAGAGTGGATACAGCAGCATTGCGAGGTAGCGCATGGCTTCCGCGTCCGCTTGCGCCGTGCTGCGCTCGGCCGCGTCCGCACGCTCGCGCCACACACGTACGCGCCACCCCGCAAACGAGACGCGCACGTGGAAAATCCTCGTCACTTTCCATAGCTACAAAACAATTGAATTATTTTATATATCATAAAATAAATATAATGTTATAATAAATTATATAATTTTACATTTACATATAATAATAACCAGAGGGAGACTTTGTACAAAAACCGATTGCTTGGATACCTCTGTCCTATTCGTGTTTCAACCGTGAAGCAATTGTTTGCATGGCTGTGTTTCGGTTTCAAGGGTGGGATATGGCGTGAATTTACAGGGTACAGAGGTATAACACCTGAGTCCTCAGGAATGGCAACGCATGGGGGGTATCATGAGCGAAACAGTACACTCTGTTATATCCATGGTATTGCTCATGTCTATAGGCGACGGTTATCACTTTCCATCAGGTGGACCGTCAGCTTGTTTGCCATTCTAAGTTGCATAAAAAAAAACAATGTTCACATGTTTTACAGACATAGAGAATTACATTGTACAATTTTTGTGACGTGATAAATTTTATTATATTACAGAATACTAATAATAAGTGGGAAGAATAAATAGTATTTTCTGCTATACATTAAAATGAACAATAAATACTAATGGTATTTATTGTTCATTTTGTTTCAACTTATTACACAGTAACAAAACTAAACAGAACTTGTTGTGAAGGAATATTGTAAATGCATTTTCATGCAAAAATTACCTCAATAACAGCACTTATACCAGCTGGTACAAGTACTAGAAGTGACGTCTGCTCATCTATTAGATAAAAGAAAATGATAAACTGTGAGAATGCGCGCCAGACCACTGTACGCGCGGATAAACCCGCAAGCGACCTTTTGCGGCGCCAGAATGAAACATCATTCTTGAATGCTAAGAAGTCGAACAGCAACTGAAAATTTAATTAGTATATATGCAGATATTTCTAACTAAAAATTATATTTTTCAACAATCATCCCCACTTATATAAATAAGAGTTCAGTATAATTCTGTGTGAACCATATAAGAAATCCAATGAGATTTATAACATGGTATCTAATAATTCATTTATTGATAACATTTGTGTGTGACAGACCAATTATAAATTATAAAGTACTCATATATAGCATGGACAAGGAGAACCAAGTGGCAATAACCACCCTCTATCCTTATGGGTGAACTATTAATAAAAAAAAATATATAATATTTTTGCAATCCTGAATTATTGGTGGCAATAAAAAAAAAACTAAGACAAACTACTATCAGCCCCGCTAATATCATAATAATTATTTATTATTTAAATTCACTTACATGACAACTGGCTATCAAGACTGTTGCTGACAGCAGGTACAAATTTGTATCTGCAAATATTCCCTTAACATCGTCTATATCTTTTTCACTGAAGCCAAGTGTGCGTAGCTGTTCCAAAGCAAGTCTCACATGTAGGGCCAACCCAAACGATCCATATGAAGTGGGTGCAACATTTACAGTTATATTCACTTCTGATGTACTACTATTTAACAGTTGTAATGTTGACATCCGAGATTTAAGGACATTGTGTTGGATTATAGGTAGAAATTTCCCATTTCTAACTCTGAAAATACATTAAAAATATTTCAGTGATAAGAATTACGAGAAAAGTACTTTAACACTTTGCTAACTGGGAATTCCATCATGGTTGAAATCTTTGGAATTAAACTAAAATTGTGATAAAAACCTAAATACAAAGTAATTTTTTGGTCATGAACCCTTTGTAATCCAAAAGGTCTTGCCCTTCATGGTAGAAGAATGTACCTACATGTTAGCGCAATGACAAGTTTACTGCTTACCAATCAGCAAAGTGTTAAATATATATATAAAACAACAAAACCTCAAATTTATTTGAAAAAAAAATATAAATATATGTAAAGCTGAAAATAAGTATACAGGGAGTAAGGGATGGGTTAGCAAAAACTGAAACAGTGATTGCAGACCATTATTCTAAACTGAAAACCAAAATGAAATAACATTCTGAAAAATTTTAAGTTTTTTTGTTTTTTTTTTCATTTGAAATCATGAAATCTATGATATTATGTCATAACAGCAATTTAACATACATATTAAAATCCTACTGCAACACATGGAACATTGTGCAGAGTCCAAACTAAGAATTGTAAATTATATGGTGGTACACTTCCAGTGGGAAAATAATCTGCCATCTGATTTAATTTATCTAAATCAGCTGTTTTCATTTTCACCAACCTGTCCCTTCCATCCTGTATATTGTAAGTTCTACAGATTAACAGTTTACCTCATGTATGGAAGTAATTCACCAGGTAACTTATTGTCAGGAAGATACAAATTATCTGTTAAAATAGAGAGTGGCACTGACGTTGCTATATGTGCAAATGGATGAAAACTCTCATCTTTTAGCTTTTTCACATTGCTCTAAAAATATAAGAAAATAAAGCTTGAATTAGACTTATTATATTAATTATTATATTTAGTTATTACTAATTCACTTACATTCAAATACAAATCATTATATGAAATCTTTGTCTCTACAATATATATTTTTTATAAATGTGAAAGTTTGTAAAGATGTTTGGATGTTCATTATTCAATCATACTTAAATTACTAAACTGATTAGAATGAAATTTGTTACACAAATAGACCATATACTTACTTAAAAACTTGTTATAACTTTATATTTTTTTACTTACATTGCTTTCAAGTAGGTTAAATGTAGCTGCCTGAGGTTCAATATAAGTGATCAGGGGCAATGTGTGGACAGATTCTGTACGACGAATTTCATCGAAATCTCTATAAAGTCGACTATCATCTAACAGTACTGCATGCATGAATAATGTCCCATTATTACGGGTTTTACGAGGTACTTTCAATATAATGTTACTGAAAAGATAAAGAAAATATAAGATAATTACAATAAAGAAAATATTTATTAATTATAAGTAACAAACTAAATAATAATAAGTAATGAACAGACTCACAAAGTTGCGGAACTACGGTAATCAAATTTGGTAGAAGTATGCACTTTGGTGATAGCATCTGCAGATGAACCACCTAAAGACGGACGTTGTTTCACAGAAGTATAGAGAACTAAATGCTGAACTGGATTTGAAGCCAAATGTGAAGTATAACATATTTCGCCACGACTGCATTTAGGAGGTATAAAAATTTCAGCTAGTGTCCATATTGTGTTTATAATATAAACGGCAAAAACAATAGAAAGTATTAGACTGACAGATATATACTTCATCACAAATAATTTTTGCAGATTGGATTGTTGAAATTTATTTTATTATTATTTTGTTTTATAACCTCTAAATTCTGATCGGTAGTCATAGATAGGTAAGTTGTAAAAACTATCAAAATTGACAAAGATATAATTGACAATTATGTCGCTACACGTCATATAAAGACATCGATAAGTAGATATTATAAAGTAAAAAAAAAAATGAGAAAACTGGTTTGAACATAGTCATTGCCGTATTTTGTTAAAAAAGGTTCATATGTACTATCAGTCATCTTTACTTGCATCTGGAGTGGGCACAAGATAATTTTAAGGTGGATACGGCCTACTGGTCCTCCTTTAAAGTGCCTATGGTTTAAGCGTTTAAAGGTTCATGTCGTTTTTTTTTTTTTCAATAATCTCTTCGAGTGTATAATTATTGAAATAATAAACGTTTCAAATTTAATAAAGTCTAAGTATGTGTTTAAAACTGTTTATTATACAAAGACGAAGATACTTCAACTTCCTTACTTGACAAGCATTTACTAGGTCTAATTATTTGCTTGACCCAAGCTACCGTAATAATAATCTAACGTTTGATACTTTACTATATAATTTAAGCACCATCTACGGAGGCCATGGTGATTATGTATAGTATGTCAATACCTTTATAGTATTTTTTTTATAATATTGGCAACATTGCTCTGTATATCCATTAGGACTGTAGTGTGAGATCGTAATAAATCGGTGTCTCCTAGGAAATAATATTGATGTTTTAATGTTCCTAAAAAGTATGGAAGGTATTGTAGTAATGTTATGTTCTATTTAAAATGTAGTGAAATATTGTTTCCTAATCTGAAAGTATACCTATGTGGCATCGCGTTTTGACATTTGTCATTGCATATCTCGCTAATATTTTGTTTATGTTGCAGGATGAAAAACATTTTATGTGACGTCTGAACATTGAATTGAAACCAATTTATTAAAAGTGGAAAATGAAAAATGGTGACATTAAGAGGAAATGTCTGTATGATTAGCAACGGCCATGGATGTTAAAGATTTACGAAGTGAACCTACTCTCGGAGAACGCAACAACGATGCTATCAAGTTCAATGCAAACAGCAGCGCCCCATCATACAACAGAAACAAACCATATCAAGATATTACTTCAAATCAGTTGGGTAAAGTGGATGTACCGACACGGCCTTGCGCCGTTATAGGGCCTGATAGAGTGATACCGCCATTAGTTTCTAATGACTTAAAAAAAGGACCCTACGAATCATGGCCATATACGGACAATTCATACCATTACCCACCAGATTATCCTCTGAAACCATCCAGTTACCAAACACCATTAAGAAATATATCACCAAGACAAACATTCCAGGAAAACATGCAACGCATCATGGTGCCGCCTAGCTACAACACTGGGAGAATAAATGAAGATCCTAATTATTCTCAAGACAGAAATGTAACTTTGTTAAAAAATGTGAAAACAAACATTCCTGCCGAGACCAAATATTGTGATGTGCCTTATAATATTAATAACATAAATAATGACCAAAACAGTGCTAGAAATACTGAATTACGTGCATCAAATGTTAACTCAGTGCTTACACAAAATGCTCCTAATGGGTGGCCCCCAAATATGAGACCAGCAAAACCCTACAGTGGTCATGAACTTTATCAGTATCCTGAATATGCTAGCTGTGCTGGTCCCAGGCCGGTGCAGATAAATAGACTACATAGAACAACACATGAAGATCCTGGGCTTGTATATGCAGACCCTTATAGCTGTGATGGCAATAATCGCTATAAACCTTACCCAACAATCAAGGAAAGGTATCCTCAACCAAGGTATGAATATATTGGTAATTATTCAAATCCATTCCATCCTGCACCACCATTCCCATCTACTAAATATGATTTGCAAAAATCACTACCTCCTTATGCTTCATACCCACAAATTCCTTTAAAATATTTTGATGGCAGAATATCTGAACCTATTATGGATGGATACCAAAGGCCCAATCCACAAGGTAATTATAATGTACCAATTCGTAACCAAGTGATACATCCTACTTATGGGCCTATGTTAGGGAACTGTATTCCAAATAAAATGTATCCATTACCATCAGAAACCTCTGTTAAATCAATTTCTGCAAACAAACTACCTTATGATAACAGCAAAATATATGTTGACTATGTAGACAATAGTAGACCAAAACCTTTTTCAGCTTCTGAAAATTTCTATGTTAATGAAATATCAAAAGCACATCATCAAAAAAATCAATATGTACCTAATTATCCAACAGTAAATATGCATCCATTACCACATCCATATTTTAGAAAAGAAAATACATCATTTAAAAATTATGAATATATGACACAATATAGAAATATGGAATCATCATTGCCTTTATCAAGGTTTCCATCTCAAATTTCTCCTAATTCTATAGCCATATCCCCATCAGATTCCAATACCAGCAATGATGCAATGCAAACACATATAAATACTCAAGAAGATTGTGGATATGTGAGCCAATCTCCAACAGCAAGCATAAGAAGCATGGATTTAGGAATGAACCGTATCTCAAATGACTTTTATAAACGATATGATCCTAAATTTGTACCTAAATCGAGAACGGCTATTGTATCTAAACCTGAGATAAATTCTGCTAGGTTATCCAAAGAAAAAAAAGGTATTGACGTTAGACAATTCTTACAAATGTGGAATGAAGGAGATGAAGAAAATAATGAAAACTGTAAGGAAATTGCAACTCAAGCACATCCAAATGTCAGTAACAAAATTCCTGTTCCCAAGGAGCTAGGAAAAAATCAGGATCAACTATATGTACTTGGATTAGTAAATGTTCCAAATGAAGATCTAAGTAAATATGATCACATTCAAAAAGTTTCAAAGTTACCAGAAAATATCAAAGGTTATAATAATATTGAATTGCTTAATCAGTTTGAAGAAGCAATTGAATCATCAAAAACAAATAATTTTAACTTGAAACATTCTTCTCAGAGAGATATCCGTTGTCAAATGCCTATGAAAGGTTCTGTTCCCCTTCAAACTTCAGAAATTGTGACGCGATCAGTGTCACCATTAGATGTTGAAGCAAAAATTAGTCAGTCAGTGATTCATAAAGAAGTTGGATGCAACTTTGAAATAAAACCTTGCAGTCCACAAATGTTAAATGTTGAGATAGCAACACCTGCTCAAACTATTTTAGGAGAAAGAGTTATAGAAAAAGTAACGAACCCGCTTATTTTAACCTCGCATCATTTGCACAGCATTGATGAAAATAACAAAAATGTTGAAACAATTCACACAAGAGTAGATTCACTCCCTCGTATAACATCAAATGACGATTTGAAAATTCCTAGCTGCAAAATGGCTAATACACAGTTTGCTACAAATGATATTGTGCCTGAAAAAAGCAATTATACTTTGCAAGATTTAGAGAGTAATTCTAGTATCAGTCTAGCTTCATTACCAAGACTTGACAATGATATTGAGTTAAATTTCACTGAAGTAAACCAGCAATTTATTAATGCAAATAAAGGAGAAACTGTAATAACTACAGCTAAAGATTTAACAGCAATAACAACAAATAGTTCTGAAATTATATTAAAAAATAAAGATATTTTACAAACTGAATCTGAACTAAGTTGCCAATTTTCTCCCAGCATTGAATCCGAAAGAGAATTTGCCAAATTAAGTAAATATAGAAAAATAAAAAAGGGCTCTGAACCTAAAAGTGATAATTTGCAACTATGTTTACAGACCTTAAGAACAGATAGTGTGATTATTAAAAATCCTGATAATGTTAAGGTTAATGAAAATAACAGAGACACTATTTCTCCTGTTAATAAATTAACAGAAAACCTTCAAATTAACCCAGTAAATCTATCTCCTAACTATAGAAGTCCATTGGGTATGTCAAATATTAATAAGGAAAATGATAAAACAGAAAATGGCGTAGATTTTGCTATTGATTTTAGTATAAGCAAATCAAAAAGTGTTTGCGCCACGAGTCCAGCAAATAAAGACTTCATTAATGAAATTCAAACATCTCCAATGGAGCATATTAATTTGTGTACACAATATGACACACATTCTGTAGTAAATAGTCAATCAAAAGATATAAACATTAATGAAGAAAATCCTATCAAAACCAATTTGAAAGAATATAATAATGAAAGTGATAAAATTAGTAAGGAAATTGTTAACGTTCATACGTCTACATTGTCAAATGAGTTTATAAATGAACATACTTCAGTAAAAGATAATAATATTTCGAAAGAAAGCACTAATAAAATACAACCTATAAATATCAGCATAAGTAAAAATCCAAAAAGTAAAGACACTTCTTCGGAAGTTATCTTAAGACCAGATATAGAAACAAAATTGGAAGTTGATGAATCATTAAATAACTGTAATAAAATGGTCTTGAAAACAGATACCAATAATGAAAATAGAACTAATGAAAAATCTGTATCTAATAAATTAAATATTTCTAATAATCTGGTTCTACACAAAACTGTCGAAACCGACAAACAAAATAAAATAACTAAAGAAAATGAAAAAGATTTTACAGAATTTACTGTAGCTGATGATATATCTGAAACAAAAGTTAGCATTGAGTGTGTTCAGGAAAACTATATCAGTTGCGATAATTTAAATAACGAAACATCTACAATTGAAGACCTTTCGAAAGATATAAATACGAATAATGAAACTTCAGAAAATGTTAATATTTCCTCGAAAAAATATACAGAAGATATATCAAAAAATATTGACCAGAACGTTTCTTCTGTTGAAAACATTACAGAAGAAATGGATATGAATAACATAATTTCTGAAAATATTGATATTTCCTCGAACATAAATACAGAAGTGTTCAATAATTATCAAAATTTGTCTGAATTAAATATTGTGCCAATTTCACAAACAAAAAGCTATCCAGAAAAATTCGCAAGTACGGTGTCATCGTCCCGTCAAACTGCTTCTGTAAACTGCAATAATTATAGTCTTGAAAATCAAAGTAATTCCCAAATCGCAAACATTACTGATATAACATCAGCACATATTGATAGCGATTCTCAAAATATCCAACCTAGACTGTCACAACAATCACTGTATACGGAAAATGATACAGAAATCATAGATCTAAATAATACGAATATAAAACATCAGCAAAACTCAGACATTAAAGATACTGTATTAGAAACAATTTATGTCAGTAAAAAAAGCGTTCAGGATGTTCATAAAAACTTAGAAAACAAATTCACTAATTTATGTAACATTACTTTATCACCCCATCAATCTGAAGCTGAAATTAAGAGTAATGATTTGAATTTTAAAGATACAATTTCAAACATAGATAATACAAATGTAAATTGTATTAAATTACAAATGAAAACTCCTGATGGAAGTTCATCTGAATCTCCTGTTTCGCCCGTACCTTTTAAATCTTATGAATCTAAAATTAATTCAAAGAATGTGAATCCTGCTATGTCTATTTTTTCATTAGAATCACATGATAATAATGCATTAAAAGAATATGACGGAAAAGCAATAATAAAAACGAAAACAATTCAAAAAGATCAAGATGGTGTATATATTGTACATACAAAAGAAACAGAGAAATCTGACAATTCGAATAAAAACAATACTGAAAACTTTTCCTTATGTCATTCTTTGATACAAAGTAATAGTCTCAGTCCACCAGATGTAGGATCTGATATTAACACTGTTAAAAATATATCTTATCATATTAGCAAAGAATTGTTTTCTCCTTGGATTCAGAAATTAATAATGCATGAGGAATCTGCATGTTACAAATTTTATTCTAAAGACAGTTTTATTATTAAGCCAAATTTGGACAATATTGAAACTACGTCTAATATGCGAAAAAGTATAGATGATGGTAATAAATATTTTGAGATAATATCTGGACCTAAAACTCAAATTAATCCTACTACCAAAGAAAACTGCGATACCAATAATGATAAACAGATTAATAATAGACTAATATTGGTCTCAAACCAATATTGTCATGATAACACTAAAGAAGGTGACTCTCATAATAGATTAGAAAATACTATTACATTATCAAATACAGTTTCCAAACAAAATACTGAAATGAGTGATAATTGCATAGAAAGATCTAATGCAATGTGTGATAGTATACCAAATTCAGTAGACAACGTAACTAATGTTGTGGATTATGTCCAAACGTATCCTAACTCTAAAGATATTGTAGAAAATATTAATTCATCACAAGAGGAGAATATCTACGAAGAGGCTATAGATCATGACGATAAAAATTGCTTGAATGTCATTGAATGTTCTTTACAATTACAAAATTTACCACAACCTGAAAAAACATGTCTTAAAAGAGCACTATCAGATTCTGCATTAGATAGGTTTAAAGATGATAGTAACGATGATTTACAATTACGGTGGCAGTCCAAACGAAGAAAACAACATTTACACGATTTAATTGAACAACCGTTATTAGAAGATAATTTTTGTAGTATTCAAAACATTAGACGGAATTCTATATCTTCTATTTATAATGAAGATAACGTTTCTTTTTGTATTCTGATTGATAATAATTGTATTATTACACAAGAAAGTGAACAAGAAAAAATATGCATCACTGAAATGTCAGAAAATATTAATGTAGAGGATACCACTAATAATGAATACGAAATCACATATTCCCCTTCTAAAGTAGAAATACATTTAGAAGATAATAATAAATGTGACGTATCTGAATGTTTATCATTAGAAAATATAGACGAGTCTTTAGAGGAACCATGGGTAGACGACGTCGCTTGCGTGGAGACTGTAGTCAGTGACGATCTTGTCGAAGATATTACAAATAGCGCGCCTTCATCTCCAAGACAAATTTCATCAGAAAATGAAGATACAGAAATATTTAATAGCAACCAACATACAGACAAAGTAAAATACATATATGGCGATAAAATGTGTAATGATGATGCTCAATTTGTTGAAACTTTGTATCGTACACCTCAAATGGATGTCAACAAAACACTCGTTAATAGAGAATGTTATGTGACTGAGGAATTGAACAAGTGCTATAATAAAGAATCCTTGGAAAAAATTTTATCAGACTCAAACCAAGAAAAGTGTCAGACTAATCCTACTAGTATCTTTACTACTCTATCAATAAATTTTAAAGACATATGTGACGAGGAAAATGTAGCATTTGATTCTAAAAGTGAATCAGAAAGAACTGTACAACCATCAAATATACAACCAAACGTATTGAATATACAAACACAAGATGATACCATACATTCCTGTGAGTCCAGTATAGATAATGTATTTAATTACATTAAAAAAGAGGACACCACAGAATATAAAACCTCTAGTTCGCCAGAAGTATCTTCAACAACATCTGAAGAAAAAGGCTCAAATATGGTGTTAAAAATTACTAACTTTAAAGTATCAAGACTACCACAATATATTGATGAGGAAATTGGAAGAAATAACAAAGAAATAAATTCAAAATATACTGAAAACTCTATTCACTATGATAGTGGTAATTATAATTTAACCCCAAGTCGACCTTTGATTACAAAAGCAGCTCAGAAATATATTCCCCCTTTGAAAGAAACATTTCATGATCTTAAAATAAAACTTCCATTACCACAACATAGTTTACTAAAATTAAAACAATTAAAAATTTTAAAAACCGCACCAAAGATAAAACACATTAATGCAAATTCAAAAAAAGAAATTCCAAAGAAACCTAAACCAAAGTTTGAAGAGGTCTTAAAAAGTATAGATGAAATTCAATTTAAAATGCTTAAGGAAAAGAGTAAAAAAGTAAAAAAATCAATACCCAAGGTAGTGATAAAAAAAAATGAGAATGGATCTCATTATGCTAGTACACCAAAAACGCCATCAGCGTTTAATCCTGATTTAACGGGACGTAAATGGCAACCATGGGTATTTTTAGAAAAAGATAATTTTATTGACAAAATGGCACTTAGGAAAAAAACCAAAGCTGTTTTTAGTTATAGAAAAAATGCGTATGTTTTTGCTGAAAAATTCCAAAAATATAAATCTATGGAAAGCGCGAAGTTTATTATATCGTCGCCAAAATTGGAGGAATCTTCAATAGGACAACTCAAATGTACTATTAGATTAAAGCATACATATTGAAGGTAGTTTGTTTAAAGAAATCTACAGTTTGGTGCAGTTACATATAGAACTGGTTCCTGGATTTTTAATATCATAATTATATCCCACCCTGGTCGTTGGTCTCTTTATGCATTCCTACGATTCCAATATTAAGTATTTAATCACATTAGTTCACTATCAAATAGTACCTAGATTAGAAAACCAAGCCAAATTCTGTACTAAGTGTGATATAAAACAAAGACAAATTAAGTAGGTATTGTTTTTTATTGTGCAATTGGATCTGATTTCTATTTTGTTAATATACTTTCAAAGTTTATAATAATATTTACTGTCATTCCATTTTAAGTAGATGCTTTTTTCCAAAAAAATTACCATAATATTTTCACATTTTTGCGTGTGAATATAGCCATAATAAGTATTATCATGTGTTTAAATTTTAATTTTATTGATATTTTAAATTTTAGATGATTCTGTTGAAATGTATATATTGATTTAAAATTTATATTATTATAAGTGCCTAAAATATAAAAGCAAAATAGCAGATGAGTTTCAAAAATGTTTTTATGCCGTATGTAATAAGATCTATAGTTATTTCTCTCGTTATATATTTTACCAAATGTTTATATTACTGTATTGCTCTGCTTTCAATGTAGATAAAATACTTAATTATATATTTCTCCCACACTTGATCCATTATGGATTTTTCGTGGTTAGCATAAATACAGATGTTATCTATATTATATATAATTGTTAAAATGGTCATTCCACTGGTAATGATCAATGATTGCTCATGTAAATTCTAAGCACATAAAATTACTATTTAAAAATTTGATTTAACCGCGAGTAGTGTGTACTCTTACATTAAAGGATGAAGTACAAAGACTACACACTAAATCTGAATTGTAACTATGTTAACATATTATTAATATATTTATATAATTGTCCATAATAATTATATTATAAATTTGTAAAGAATGCTTGTTGTTGGTCAATGGTTTGTATGTCGTATTATAATTGTATAGTATAGTTATATAGGTAATAAAATTATAGCGTGAAATAACCAAAGCCAATACTCAGAATATAAAAATTCTTGGGAAATATACAGATAGATAGCTGAAAATCCTTTACAAGATGTAATATTGTTACATCGAATTTTCATGTTGTGCAATATTTATACCTATAGATACCTATAATATATTTAAGTATTTATTTTAATACTGTACCAAAAAATTTCAACTGAAATTGTTTAACAATGACTACTTATCACTATCCAGTATTGCACATCGACTCAAATGTGTATTTAAAAACTATAGTGCCTTTTAATCGGGCTTATTCAAAATGATATTAAACCATATATACTTGTAAAAGGATCATATTTATATTTTGGACATTCTTAAAATAAATTGATCTCATATACCAGAATTTCGCATTGTATATTATGTTTGCCTGATCGTGCCTAAACGAGGTTAATAAAATATTATCACTATTTTTATAATATGTACAGGGTGTTAAATAAATATACCAAATAATGTGCTTTTAAATCCTACATGCATATTTTGCATGTGTTGCCTTCGTAGTTAACTATAATCAGTTACTGAATACTATTTAATATAGGTAATTTATTACTATAAGCGTGTTGAACGTTATTGGACTGTTTATTTATTATAGATAGGTTATTATTTCCATACGATAGGTATGAATGTTAGTAATATAAGTAAATCTTAAATGTACAAAGGTGTAAGGGCAATGAGTTAAGAGTGGTCAGTTACAGATAAGTATTCGAGTTATCAGGTACCATGTTTGTAATAACTATTACATTTTAGTGACTGATCTTTCCATAATCACTGTACAGAGTATATAATTTTCCTATACCATTTCCTTTTATAAAGTATGTTTGTTATGCACAATTGAGTGAATTGTTGAGTTTTAATGGTTCCTGCACTTTGTTGATTATGTTTTGAAAATTGTGATTAGTTAATAATTTATTGTGGTTTTAAAAAACTAGGGGTTATGGAATTTGTTATGAATTATGAAATAATTAAAAATAATAATAATTTGTTTTGTCATATAACGTTAATGCATATCTTATGCCAGTAACGCACGTGATAGTGTTTCGTGATAGTTTTAATATCTAATTAATAATACACTTAATGTAAAAATTGGGTGGTACCTACCTATCTATATTACAAATAGTGCATTGCGATAACTGTATATCTATTGATATAAGATATGTTTTTGAGTGTACAAGTTTTGAAAAATGTTCTAAAATTGACCAAATAAATGTGTTCTAAAGAAAATGCATTTCTCAGTTATGAAATATTTATTGTTTTATTTACTAAACAGGAATATTAACTTTAACAGCTTCCTGACGAATTGCGTTAATAAGCTCTTGGTTTATAAGAAATACGAAGCGCAGTCCAGCGATCTGTTGAACATAAAAATAGCATAATTATAACATATACATGAAGAACGTTCTTCAAAAAGGGTATATTAAGGTTTCTTCAGGGTCAGCAAAATGCATGCAGTGACACCTCTAATGTTGAAGGCGCCTATAGACTAGTGACCGTATACAGATAGTTTGTTTGCCACCTTTGAGGTATAAAAAATATAATAATCATTCCATATAAAACTCTATCTTATTATATCGTAACGATGAAATAGGCGACGAAATGCCTTGGGATGCCAATGAGACGTATTGGGATTTAAAATTAATATAAGATTAGGTGCGTCTATGACATATATAATTAGAATTCATAGTTTTAAGTACACTGCTAATCTTTTGTTTTAAATTTTTGTAATTTAGAGTTAAAAAAAAACTAAACTTTGAGACCAGATGCTCAAGTCTGGCAAAAAAAAATTTTGATCATCTACAGGGAACCTGTACTACAAAACAGAATCCGCTAAGTATCGTAATATATCGTTGAACCGATTGTATGATCACCAGGATATTTTACGAATATAGAAAATGGCGTGATCCATGACTTATTACTACATAAATAAATGACGTTTGTAAAGACGTAAATGAAAAAGAAAAATAAGTGCCTACTACGCATATGGGCATGTACGTTTTTTTCTTGAACGGTATATTTGAAACAGGAGAGGTGATTGAGGTCAGCTCAAAAGGAGTAGGAACTGACTATACTGTGGTACGTATTGTCATTGTGGATAGTTAATACGTAGGTATTAGTATATTGTCGTAGCAGTAAAATTTTACAATATTCATATGGGTCTGTCTTACCTATTTATAAATCAATAAGCAACACGTGCGTTATGTTACATCCTGAGAGATAACATTAGTACACCTGGGCCTCTAAACATGTGGCAAGCGAATTCGTCGATGGAATCGACATCGCTAGCAAGTCTATAAGATAGCAACGTCGGATGTCTCATTCCAACTCATGGACTCGCTAGCGATGTCAATTCCATCGACGAATTCGTTTGTCACTTGTTTAGAGGGCCTGCTCTTTTATACAAAAAGTTAAAACAACCTTAGATAATGTAATGATAAAAGTTGAGCGTGCTGTTTAACATGTAGGTAATACGTACTGGGATCGCAATAGAAGTTTTCCTACGTATCAGAATAAATAATTTAATAATTAAGTAGATCATCAGCTGACATTATAAAAAAATATATCCATAACAAATATCACTGTTTTAAGATTGAGCAGCTAACAGAGACAATACAACGCTGAATCGTCAAGAACGCCAAAGCTTACGTATCCTCATAAATTACTCGGATAATTAAAGTCCTATGATCAAATAAGAATATATTGTCACATTCTGAATATATGTTTTGTATAGATATAGGTACGGTTAATGATCCACTTCCAACTGGTGTTAACACATAGGCTCTGCTCCAGTAAACCTATTAAGAATGGTGAAAAGAGCAAACAAACCTCTATAACACTGTTATGGTTAAGCTTGACTTTGTTCCCTTGAAGTACTGGCCGGCCGTCCACGAAAATTGGCCTTTTGCCTTCTGATGACATAAAAAAGTCGCCGCTGTTACGTAAGCGGATTGTGGCTTGCTTCCTTGACACCTTCGCTGCAGGTCCTTCCAAGCTCAAATTCACGTCTATAGTGTGGTCTCGTGTACTGCGACCGACAGCAATCTGCGAGATGAAATTAACATTGAAAACAAATATTTAAATAGTGTATTAGGTACCTAATGACGTATAAGTACTACAGTCTTACTCGTATTTCTACCAAAAGCAAATATATTATTATATTTATTGTTTAAACGGAAGGCTTTAAAGAGGTGAAATATGTAACAAAATTCAATGATATTTATGGTGCTGTTTACGACTATAAGCCATGATTATTAATCCATCAGTTGAGCTTGAGCTTGTTTTTAATTTCAAACACACATGCTTTACCTAATAAAACAAGAGCTGCTTTCTTTCTTTGCAGTTTACTTTTACTACTAGTAATAAAAAACCGATTCAAACTCATGATCGATAAAGCCATTCAAATTTAAATGAATTGTGAGGTTTAAAATATATTCCTTTTATTGAATTTCTCCAAATTTTTATGGGGATGGAAGATAACGGGATTTCACGGATGAGGCAGTAATAAACGGCTAGTATAAAAATAATTTTTTATCTTTTCATACTCAATATATGAGAATCAAAATATGTTCTATACTTAATTGTCTGTTACTTGAATAAGTTTTGTAATTTTTTTTATTTTATAACTTGACCTTTTCTTATAACCTTTTAAAAACATGTACAGGGCCGTCTCTATCCGAGGATGTCGGGGTGGAAATGGAGCACGCTTATGCGCAGTCACCAAGGTCGCGAATACTAAGAAATTCAATGTTTTACTCAGCTTCAAATTGCCTAAATTTATAAATAATAACTACAGAAATAAGAATTATACTAACGTAACATTTCTAAGACCTGGTACTAGCCAAATGGGTGACAATGGAATGGTAACCTCGCCATCACTATTGGTATACGTTGGCAGAACATCTGTGAGTGATGATAAAAGAGGATGAAAGCAACTCAGTTTGCCTACCATGACAGATTCCACAAGAATTAACCCCTATGGCTTCAACTTGATATGGAGATCGACTTGGTATGCTGCTAGCAATGAGATTGTTTTTTTTTTTTATACAACTTAGAATGGCAAACAAGCTGACGGCCCACCTGATGGAAAGTGGTAACCGTCGCCTATAGACATGAGCAGTACCATGGATATAACAGAGTATACTGTTTCGCGTATGATTTTATTCGTTATTCCTCTGTACCTAGTAAATTCACGTCATATCCCACTCTTCAAACCGAAACACAGCCATGCAAACACAACTGCTTCACGGTTGAAACATGAATGGTACAGAGGTACCCAAGCAATCGACTTTTGTACAAAGTCTCCCTCTGTTAGACCTTATTACTAATAATCCCTCCCCCCACCCCCTCTAAGACCTGGTACACTGTTCAAGTAAACTATTCGCTTCTATGTTATTAAAGCCATTTACTCGTACATATACCACCTGTAATGATATGAACACAGCATTGACAAGTCATATAAGATTGATATGTCCCTCCCTGCTTATACATCGTATATATAATAATATAATAAAAAGGAAAACTTTGTTTCTTTCAATGTACTAATCTCTGAGACTACTAGTCGGATTTGATTTTTTTTTTTTGCATTCGATAGCTCACTTATTGAAAACATTTGTAGTCTACTCATCATCACAAAACGATCACGGGAGAAACCGCGATATGTAAATATAACATTTTACGACGACCGTGCGTTGCAAGTTTATTACCACGGAGTATTGCTTATAATTTTCGCCCCTAAAAATACAACGACTTCTTCAATAGTGACAAAATTATTCAATAAATTATTTATCATCATGAAAAGTTCCTTACAGAGTAGGCATAGTAGGATAATAATTAATTAATATACATCATATTTATAGGCGATAGTTTTTTTTTTTTGTTAATGGGTGACAATGGAATGGTAACTTCCTGCGCTATTGATATACTCTGGTGGGGCACCTGTGAAGCATGAAAGCAAAACTCAAATTCATGAATAATTAACCAAGATAGTTTCCAGGGGGAACCGCATGGAAATCTACAGAGTATACTGCTAGCAATGTGGCTGTTAGATCCCCATTATTAACAATTCCTTCCCCCCCCCTCCCCCTATAGGCGACGGTTACCACTTTTTATCACGTAGATTGTTGACTTGATTGCTGTTCTATTTGAATTAAACAAAAAATTATGAAAGTAACCAAAACCGGAGTAAAACCCTATTGATTGCAAAAAAATTCTCAAATTTGATTCAAAATTATCGACGATATGGTGTAACATACACAAAAAAATGCAGACTAATTGAGAACTTCCTTTAAATGATCACTTTAGATTATATTGGTATTTTACTTGTAATCAAATTATTAGCTCGATCAAGGGGCGCTATGGTATTAATTGAAAATGAATATAGTAATTGTAAATCATTATAAAATAATAAATGATATATGAACAAAATGATACAAAAATTGAAGATTTATAATTTCACAAACTGGACAAACGCGTGTCGCTGCATGCAGTTGACTAATTTTATTAACACCGTGCTGTATGCACAGCTGTTAATTGATACGGTTAATTAATACAGACTTGTACTCGTATCAGCAAATACAATGTACGTATTATCTTAACCTTGGCGATATAGGTATATTCTACACAGTATCGCCAGCAGTACCGTGTAGGCGAAATAAAATTTCAACAGCAACTCATTACTAACGCGTTGATACTGTAGCAATATAATATAAAATACTATACAAACAATAAAAATGTATATTTTGATACGTAGTGCTTACTATAACTGTCGAACATACAACTATCGCAATTTATCTGTCTGTAGGTACAGTTAGTTACAAGAGGACATTTTTAATAACTCATTGGATTTTAAATTAAGAATTCTATTTTATATTTATAATTATAGTAGTTTTAATATTTTTATTCCTGTGTTTTATGTTGCCAGTATTCGACCGACGTACCTACTAAAGTATTTAGTTTAACCATCCGTGCAATGTTTGCGTAAAATTAACTTTTTATGAAACACGCACGCAATTGAATCACTATCGAAATCGGATATTCATTAATATTTTACGTTACTAAGTTAGCTAGCGCAGTATTAAATAAATGCAAACTTTTTATTTAAAAATAATTGTCGAACTTCTAATAAATTATCTATACTAATATTATAAAGAGAAAAGATTTATGTGTACGTTCTTTTGTTTTTTTGTTTTTTTTGTTTGTTTGTAATGAATAAACTCAAAAGTTCCGTAACCGATTTAAAAAATTCTTTCATCTGTAACAAGCTATATTTACCAGCGAGTAACATAGGCAATATATTATTTTCTATCTACACGCACGCAGCTGGCGCGAGTCGCTAATAATAGAAATATAATAAATATAAAAAAACAACGAATACTCCGAGAACACAGCAAAACCTACTGGGTCTAAAATATTTGATATTCTGCGTATATATCACAACACACCAGCTGAAACCCAATTAAAATCATGCATGAAACCGTACAATTTTACGTAAACAAAAAATATTATATCTTACTCTCTATCTTTTACTATCCTTTTAATATTATGAATGTGAAAAATGTATGGATATTTATATTTATATTATATTTGGGTAATCGTTTACACTCAAAAGGTTCAATGAAATTTGGAATAGATAAATCATATTCTAGTTTGAACATATACGAAACTTTTTAATAAAATATAAAAAGGCTTGAATTTCCCCGTCAGTCTTGAAACTGCGCGGATGACAAATAAGTAGAATTTTTAGGGTGTGTGTCAAACACAGACGCAATAACAATTTTACATACAAAAGAATTTATTGTGCAGGTTTCATTGTTCATGATTTTGTTGAAATAACATAATGTTATATATATAAAAATGATATTTTTTCATATACTAGACTTAAAGTTGTTTAATTTTATGAATGATTTAGGATTAAATTACCCTTTGTAACTAGCTCCGTATGGTCCATACCCACGTTACTCTACCCTTCCACTGGGAAAGCAGTTTATTGTAACATGCGATGGGGACGCCACATATCGGAGAAAAGAATTTAACATTTGAATGAATTGAAAAACTGCGAAATCTTATTATTTTAATAAACACATTGTATATATGTAGGTTTCATATTTCTGTAATAGTGTACAGAGTAAAAAAAAACAAAACTATTAAAATTAAACTAAAAATAAATTAATATTATTTATGTATATCTTTTTTCCTCATGGTACTTTAAATTAATAGGTACTTATTTATATGTATTATTGCGCTACAATAACAAACGAGATATAGTTGTTGACACAATTCAGTAGATAAAAATTATCAGCGCCCATTTAGGTACAAATAACTCACACTATATACGCATGTGTGGACAGTTTGCGGTTCACAACGAAATTTTATGTTAAATATATTAAAAAGGGATTGTGTTAAATGATAATACTTTTATATTTACACACAAGTTATAAATTATGCTAACTGTATGTTACGTGAGGCCACAGAGGTTAAAGACAATAGAGTAACTTGTGTTTCGTATCATTCGTTTCGAGTCATTGAATATGTCTAGTTGGTGTTGTGTCAGGATAACATTTACCTACACATTACCTTGTAAGTATTCGAAGCATCCATACATACCTATACATATTGTGTCTAAAACTACGCTACAATAATCCTGGTAATCCTTACTAATATTATAAATGTGAAAGTGAATTCAATTGTTTGATTCCTTTTAGAGCCTTAACGACTTAACCAATCGCAATGAATTTCGGTATACATGTATTACACGGAATGAAAAAAGATACTACTATTAAGCTCTTTTTTATCCCAGACAGTGAACACGCGGACGAAGTCGCGGGTAAAAGCTAGTAAGTAAGAAATACCAACAGTTAAATAGTTGAATCGTTAAAATAAAACATTTATTATTTCAAAAATGTGAAATTTAAATAGGTCTAAAATATAGTTTAAGATTTTGTTCGACAAAAAAAAACACCGACTTTCATTGGGGCAATTCCATATATTTTGATATAAAAACTAAAGTAATAAACCGATTTTGATAAATTTTTTATAGGACCAAACTAAATATGTGTCCTTTCAGATAAATGAGAAAAAAGAATTTTCTAAATAAGATAAATGACGGAATTCTGATAACCTCCTTTTTTTAAGTCGATTGACAATATGGCAGTCATCGCCACTAAAATCTGCCACTTAAATTGGTTACCAAGTCAGAACTTGATTACTATATGAGATGCACGGATTAATAGAATAGGGGTTTGCTACCCAGTTAAACAGATCTCCTAGACATGTGACAAACGAATCTATCGATAGATACGCTTTCGCAACCATATGCGTGAAATAGATTGAGACAACTACTTCCAACTACTTGTACCTTCTAATGCGCGGGAAAACGGACACGTTTCAGCCACATATCGAGGGATGTAGGAAGAGAGATATATACATCACGTTAGGAAACTGGAGACTGCGTCGATACACCAATTATGAACCTACATATATGCGAATAGGATGACGATGTAGTTCAGACGAACAATACTTCTTAACAACTCGGTGCACACTTATGAAATCAAGGTGCTTGTAATTAAATATTAACAAAACCTATCTTTATCTGGATGTATTTATAGAATCTAGATAATTGCTGCAAAACAAATACATAACATATTGTCGCGTGTGACATCACGGTTATCAAATAAAACACTCGAGATTCATAGAAAACTATTGTTAGGACACCGAATCTATAGAAGCCGGATCAAATTTTGTTTTATTCAACTTCAAAAACAGGAGGTTCTCAATTCGATTGTATTTTTTTATGATTGTTCATAACTCCATTAGTTCTAAACTGATTTGGAAAATAATTTTTTAATCTTAAAATGGTGGTAGAAATTTTATGAAAATCGGTTAAGTAGTTCAATTTTTAGACCAAAAGAACTGCTTTTTTTCACAATTGAAGTTGGTTCTTGGGACACAATCTTTAATTAAACCAAAATAGAGTTATCAATTGTCACGTAATTAATATAGGATCAATACGAGAAGATAGGATTTACCTATCGATTGCAAAAATCAAAGATAATATCAAATAACATAGATTCACATAAAAAATACAATTGAATTTAGAACTTCTTCCTTTTGAAACCGATTTCGATAATCCTTTTTTGAATAGGTGTTACTTGCATTTTCGTTTCATTACCTATCTAAATCTACTAATTTGTTCAAGATTGAAGTGGGTTTTCTTGTATAAAATAATCTTAATGTATTATCGTTACTAGGATAATATATTTTATCTATATTAGTTCTATATACATGCATATATCGAAACTTATTCAATGTAGATATTGCATAAAACCTAATTCCTACCAACAGACAAGTTTTTTTATTTTATTAATATGACAGCTAAAGGCTAATAAATTCTGAATATAAAATTATTCAGAATATATATATTACATTACTTATATACCACATAATATCACGACATGTTCAGTGAAACGACATAAATAGGGATAATATTAAAAATAAACAAGTGACTTGCGTATACCTCATTGTATCTACTCGCCTAAGGTTATTGCACTCGGAGCACCGATGAACTTAGCTTTGTTGCGATTACAAATAACGATACACAATATCAATGCTTATTCATTAAAAAGTAAGGGTAGAGATGCGCATATTATTAAGGTATCCCTTTTAGGATAGTCACGTTGTCAAGTTAGTTCATTGACATTTCGATCAACGAAAACTAAAATAGAGCATCTCTTGTAGGTCTATTAATAAAACTCTGGTAGAAAATCGACAGCACTCCTTGGCGCTATGATATCGTATCATTGTGAAAAAACTAGCGTTCAGAAATACGAGTATGTATAACATAAAGTATGATGACTGGGCAAACACGTGCTTAGGGAGAGAGACGAAAGGCAGCTGCCCCCGCCCTTAAAAATTGTATATTTATATTACAACATATTACGCGTTGAACTTTAAGAAAAATGAAATACAAATATAAACTTATACCTAATTAGAAATTATACGACCAAAATGTTTACCACTCAATTAAGTATTTAGGCATTCATGGGTTACGCCTAAACGCTGATGTTAATTACAATACAAAGACATTTCACGAATTCAAAACCTATACATCTACATACATAATAGAAAAAAACAATTATATTTGTCAATATTACCAAATCATTCCGGTTTTAAAAACCGTTTATCGTTTTAACAATTGTACTGTTACTACACGCCAAGTTTAGAGCATAACGTAAATTTGCTTTACCTTCTTTTGCAGTTGTAACACAGTATTACAAGTGGCTGTGGTTGAAAATTTAATAAGGCCTTAGTTAAGAATAACCATTATCATTAGCGCTTTCTCAATGCTGAATAGCTCAGCTAATGTTATAAAGTTTATGGTACAGAAGCCCTTTTCAAAATTCATGTTATAACAGAGAAACTATATGTAATATGTTCCCACCTACAGCCAGCCTGATGGTAAACAATCAATGTAACCTTTAGACGCCTGCTATAAAGTACACATTTCTCTCTACTTTTTCCATAAAGAGTCTGGTATGAAAATATATACATTATTATCAATTAATCTATGACGGAATGATATGAGAAAAAATATCGTATTTCATTAATTAATTTATAGTCAACGAAATACCACGATCAATGGTTCGACAACTTAACGGTACAAAGATGGAATTTTACTTGCTATTACTCTAATATGGTTTATATAGAAACTATATTGTACTGAGTAGCAATATTTGTACCATTTACTTAAACTGTTAGCGCCTGACTGCTGACAAGCTTAGCGGACAAAATTCTGAACTTACAAACATGCTAAATCTCAAACCCGTTACTTCAGATACGAAATGCTGCTAAGTGGAATTCTCATTCGGTTCTTGGCATAGTACTCGTATATTACAGAATGGGTATATTTTAAAGCTCCCCGCTTTAAATTAGGGATAAAAATAGAACAAACATCCAAATAAGATAGAATACTATGCAATTCTGAGATATTTCTAAAATAACAAACTTCATAAGATAATTTCCCGAAAAAAAAAAGATCCATCAGTAACAAACTGTATCCCGCAACTTGCTCACGAGGATTGCCACGTGAATAAAATACGAACATTTTGTTAACTGCTTGAGTGCGACTGAGCAAAAAACACCGAAATATCTCTACAAAGTCACATTTATTTGTATATCAGTAGAAAATAAAATTATCACATATACAATTGGAATGTACATAATTGTATAAGTCAAAACTAATAAATAACATCATTATTAAAACTATAGGAGTATTTTTAGCACCTATTGAAAATTTAATAATGTGCGTGACAAACTGAAGCATCAATAATATATATTTGTACTAGTCAGTTTATCTCTTTTATAATGTAAATTTATTATAAATTCGATGAGGATAATTATTTCGTTTAATCCAAGGTTGTATATGGGCATTTGAACAACAAGTTAATCGCATTATGCCATACTAATTAACATATACTTAACTAGCATTTTGCCTGCTACTTTGTACGCGTGGTTTTCAAAAGTAGAAAAACCAATGGAATAAACTACTTCTAGATACGAGTATCAAGACAAAACATATCAGTTTTTAAATTAGAACTTTAGGAACACAACTGTGAAACCCGCATCTAATTTGATGCAGTAATTTTTGCGTTATGCCGATACAAACATATAGACAGACAGATAAAATTTCAAAAAAAATATCGTTTTGATTTCTATTGCTCTTATTAGGAGCCATTATATATTTTTTCTTAAATATCTCTCATGTACAGACATCGTCTAATTACAATTTTATTACTAAATAGACTAAAAAAGAACAAGTTTAATGCTACACTATTGTTCTATTTTTAATTTTTGAACGTATCTGAATTAATTATGTTTTCATGTAACATAAAATTATAGACAAATTGAGAACCTTCATTTTATGAAGTCGCCCAAACAATATTTCTTTACATTATTATACATTTTAGTACATTTTAATAATTATAGTTACATATAAAATGTAATCACTAAATGTATGTACACAAAATATTTGTTTGGATTTAGATAAGTATACATTACTAAATGTGAAGCTGGGTGACTGTAATCAACAAAAGTGATGTTATCATGATGCGGGGAGAGGTAGGGGACGAAGGGGAGGAACGAGCATTGTACGAATTATTATAACCATTTCCGATATTATTTCAACAATGTCAATTTTTTTTTCATATGTTTAATGATTACTGCAACGAATCGGTAGATTACAATTGGTTGGAGTTGAATTTTGATCAAAATTGAAGCAAAATAGGAAGGTCTAAATATTCGTAGTCTGATCTATCCTATGTAAATACATTGCGAAAGATATGAAAAATATTATAAGGTTTGTTTTATTAATAACTAATTAATAAATAATATTAAAATTATTACACAAATTTTGAGAACAGTTACACTAACTATAACTGTTCTTAATAATAGTGTAACGCTAACAAAATTAAATATTTAACATGCAATCCCTTCATATGTTTCATAAGGCTAAATCAAAATTGTTAATGTATAAAATGTATTATATATAGTGGAAGCGATTTACCAAGTTAGCAAAATGATAA